AGGGGCCCAGCAGCCTTAAGGGGCACACTGGCTGCAGGGGCCGCTGAGCCACCGCCTCTGAACCGAGGCTCCCCGCCTCGCCCCGCTTCGCTGGGAGCCTCTCCTGGGGGAGGAAGGCCCCCAGAACCATCTCGACAGTCCACAGAGCCTGGAGAAGGCTTCCTGGGTGAGTTAAGACATTCAGCTTCTCCACTTGTGGCTGCCGTGCCTGCCCCTCGGTGTGGCAATGTGGTTCTGCCGCCAGAAACGCTGACTGGCAACTTCCGAGAGGCTATGAAACAGGAACCGAACTCCCCTGACCTTGTTCACGTGGGGTGTCCTGGGTAGCACTGCGGACAGACTGTCTGAAATGTCCCCGTCCCTGCTTCCCAAACAGTGTGTGAGACGAGCATCCATCAGCGGTGCCAGGGAACACTTTTGATCAAGACCCCGCGTCTCAGCCTGCTCGAGCTGTGACAACAAAATACCAACACGGGCAGCTCAACAGCGCACGCTTACTGCCCACAGGCCTGGGGCTGGAGGCGCGAGAGCAGGGCACCAGCGCGGCGGGGTTCCGGGGAAGCTGCCTCCTGCCCTGCAGGAAGCCCACTGACCCATACTCATGACCTCACGTGGCCCTGGTGGCCCCCCAAAGGCCCGTCTCCAAACACCTGGGCAGTGGGGCTAGGGCTCCAACATATGAACTTGGGGGAAGACTCAGTCCACAGCAGCCCTCCAGACACACACACACACACACACACCCCACACACACACACACACACACGCGGAAGCCCCCCGTTCTCCCACGTAAATGAACCGGCAGGACACACACGGGGTTCCAGCCCCCATTTCCCAAACACAGAGAGTGACGTGGAGATTCAAGTAAGTGTTTTGAAAACGGGGACTCACAAGAAACAAGGTAAAGGGCATATCCGAAAAGCTATTCGGATACATGTGTTTGCAGAGACAGTGAGAATTGAACAGATCGGCTTGGTGTGTAACATCAAGTTCTTTGGGTTGTAGGCGGCTGACTTCCCTCGGAAAGATTCTCCAAGAATCGGGCTCCGAAGGAACGCCCCGTGAATCCTGGAGGTGAGATTCTCTGTGACCTTGGCTCAGCGGAGGCCTGTGGAGGACGGAGGCTGGCACCCCTGTGCGGGGGGGCGGGCACTTCAATTTCCTGGAAGGAGGAGCGCGGATTAGGCTGAAAATCCCGGGACACGGGGAGAACGCGAATCGGTGCTGGGCAAGGAGACAGCAGGACCCGCAGACCCCGCGGCCACTCCTCCTTCTCAGGGTGCTGCAGGGTGGGGCGATAGAGATCACAGAGGGGGGGCCCTGTTCTGGGGGGGGCAGGGGACTGGCAGGGACTCATCTGATGTCCCATTACTGCCTCGGCCTGGCTTGTCTGTTAGGGAACAACCCCCAACCTTGTCCAACCTGCCAGGGTTTTCCTGTAAGTCTGTCTGCAGGGCCCAGAGGGCAAATTTAAACACAAAAGATAAAGCTATGATCTTAATCTTTCCAGAAACCGAGGATCAATTTGAGTTTCTCTGAATCACAAAACCCTAGAGTCTTCACTGCACAGTCCTGCCCCCGGACCCACAAAGAAACCCCCAGGCCACGCCTCTGGTTGCCACGGGAGCTGCCCGAGGCCCGCGCCCTGTCCCCGGGGTTGCTGGGGCTCTTCCAGGGACTCATCAGGGCCCAGACTCTTAAAGCTTTGACATTTACCTGAAATGTAGGCGTATCTTCTCTTCTTACAGGGGACAAGGGACCAGTAAAACTCCTCCTCTGTGCCTACGTCCCCACCACGTTTCCGTCTCGCCTTCCCTGCTCTGAGGAGGAAGGACCCCGAAGGTGGTGGTCCCTGGGGTCCCTGGTCCTGCAAAGGCCTCGTGGGAAGGAGAGGGGGAGAAGAGCGCCCTGTACTTTGGGAATGAGGTTCAGGGTGGCCCTGCGGGGGACACAGAATGGCAGGGAAACAAAAGGAGGGCCCTGGGGGACAGAGGGAGAAGACAGGACAGTCTCCGGAGGCCTGCGGTGAATGTGCCCTCCACCTGAGTGCCAACCCCTGTGGCCTTGCAGCTGGCACTTCTGGGAACAGGGGACCCCGCGAGGAGCCGAGCCCCTCGAGCAGTGCCCCAGGGCCTGCTCCGGCTCTGCTGCTTGAATCTGTCAGGCCCGCACCCCTGCGCTTCCAGGCTGCGAGCAAGGCCGTTCAAACAGAGGCTGAGGGTGGGAAAGTCAACAGCGTCCTCAGGAGGTGGACGCTGGGGAGGGGTGAAGGAAGGGGCCCAGGTCCGGCAGCGCGGGGAGAGCGCAGAGCACAGACCTTCCCAAGAACGCCTTCAGAGGCTGGCTGGCGGCTGGCGGCTGGCAGTCTTGGTGAGAAGTTCGGTTTGAGAGGCCAGGAGCCCACCCCTCACCCTGACTGACTGTGATCTGGGGCTATGATCCAAGAAGCCCAACCACCAGGCCACGAAGAGGGTGTGAGTGTGATGCAGGGGATTGGCCCCAGGCGGAGGCAGGAGCTGTCCGAAGTTTACGGAAGGAAGGCTGTTTCTCCTGGGTCTGGGGCTGGAGCCTGAAATTCCCAGGGCAGGGGGGCAGGGAGAGGAGGTAGACAAGAGGTGGAGCAGGGACAAGCTGGAACCTAAGGCTGAGCTGGAACCCCCAACATGGATGACGGCATGGGGTATCCTGCCGGAAGGCTGGTGCCCACTGTCAGGGAGCTGAACACACACCTGGCACAGGAGACAGGGAAACTGTGGCAGAGAGTCCAACAAGAGCGGGGGGTGGGGGGGAGGGGGGCTTCAGGCCGCCACACTGCCACCCAGATGCCAGCAGGTGTGACTGAGACGCCCCATGCCCTGCCCAGACCTTCCGAACACAGAGGACACGGCTGCACCTTGACTTTACCTTCCAAATCTCCTATGAAAACACATCTCCCAGCCCACGCTGACTCAGAACTACGCGGGGAGGAGAAGTCTAGGAAATGCATTGTAGCCTAGAGAAACTGACTCAGCACAGATTCACCACCGGGCAAGTCACTTCCATCGCTGAGCCTCGGTCCCCTCATCTGTGGAATGGGAATCATAACCCCCTCACTGTAGGACTGAGTGATAGGACACACGGAGCCATCATCTACTGCTGGCTTCTCTCTGGCCCCCTCGACCGCCCCCCAAGGGAGGGGAGGGAGCACTCTAGATGATTAGCATGAGGACAGTACTTAGAGACAATCAGATGGTTGGAAGGTAGCAGATTAATGGAAAGGGATGGGGCGACTCAGGTTTTGAAGACAAGTTTACACACGATGTGGGAGCCCTTTCTGCAAAACAAAAGAACACAACTATGAATATAAAGTGAGGTACCAAAGTGTTTATTTAGAATGAGAAAATAAATCACAAGGTATATATACGTATTTTTTTTTATCCTCACCCGAGGACATTTTTCCATTTTTTTGTTCAGATAGAGTGGGAGGGAGAGAGACAGAGAGAGACGTTGACGTAAGACAAGGGCCGGGGACAAACCGCAACCAAGGTACGTGCCCTTAGCGGGAACTGAACCCGGGTCTCTCTGGACCGCAGGCCGACGCTCCAACCACTGAGCCAAACCAGCCAGGGCTACATATGACAACTTTTTGTAATGTGCTCCACACACAGTGAATTCAGTCTTTCCTCTAGCATGACTTGTCAAAATGTTTCTTAATATTGATAACGTAGAAGTTTCTTTTAACTTCACAACTTGTTGATACATAATGTCAAGTTGTTTCTCAACAACAATGGCACAGTCACACCAACCCTGCCCAAGTGAGTGTGGGAAAGGAGAAGTCAGGAGGAAAGAGGTCCTAACAAGGGTGGTTAAAATCTTACTTTGCAGATTTCACAAAAGCATATGATCATGTGGGCACAGTGCCAACAGTCCCTTCCACAGAAGAGTTGTGCAAGTGAGGTCCCTGAGGTGTAAGCTTCCAACAGTTTCCCAGAGATTCAGTCTCCTAAAGGGAGAAGCTACCGAAGGGGCCCCACTTAAAGGTTATATGCAATAATGCAGCGATGGCATGATGCTGTGTGGGGGCTGGACCCAGACGCCCACCGCACTCCCAATCGGGGCTCCCTGTAGACCTGGGCAGTGGTCGCCGTTCTTTTCCAGAGAAATGCCAACAGGATGGGCATTCTGTTCCCCTCAGATCAAGGACCTCCCCAGAAGTCCAAGTCATCTATCGATGACTTCAAAAGCCCTCTGAGGTCCAGCAAAGAGCTTTGGAAAGAGATTCTCCATCTGGGGACGAACAGGGAGCCCGTGGCAGGGGACAGGGGGATGCCACTGCCCTCAAAGGCCACAGGCTTCATTGTCACAGTCCCTGAAAACCAGTGGGAGATCTCAAGCCCTCCCTGGCCTGGGCTAGACAGATGCACTTCTGTGCTTTTCTTCAGCAAGATATGTGTGTTCCCTGATCGTAAAGTAAAATATGTCCACTTGGGGGGGGGGTCGCCATTCACCACCTCGCTACCCACTCCACGTAGTATGTCCTCCAGTCGCTTTCCACTCATCATTTTTGCAAGGAGTCTGACTTATATCCTTTTCTCCTTTAACATATGAACATGTTTTTATGTCTTGAACACCTCACTCAAAACATCATTCAAATAACGCCTAGATATTTCGTAACACATTTTTCCAAAGGTGGCCACTTTCAAGAGTTCTACAGAAATGAAATACCGTGAAAGGCAAGAGGTCCCAAAGCAGAGGTCGGCGGGCCGAACACGCCACGGCTGCCAGCCAGGCCCCCACCCCCCCGCCCCTGTGCGCCCCCGTGCGCCCCCGTGCGCCCCCGTGCGCCCCCTTCCTTCGCGCGGAGCTGCTGCGGCCCCTCTGCGGAACCGGCGGACCCAACCTCCTGGCTGCCGTCCAAGTCCAAGCGCGCAGGCTCGGCTCGGAGCTGGGGCCTCCCCGCCCCCCGCAGCCGCCCGGACTACTTCCTCCTACGGCCCGGGGGCCATTGTGAAATGTGGGGCGTCCCTCTCTCCCTCCGCAGTCTGTGCTCCGAAGGCCCCGGCCTCCCTTCCCCCAGGCCTCTTAAACTGTACCCTTAAAACCTGTTTTCAAAAAGTGGTTCAAAGCTTCACAGGTACTTTAGAGGCTGTTGGGAAAGGAAAGGTCGAAACTAAAAGGAGGGTCCTCGCGCGGTGCGACCCCGAGTGTCAGGGAGCAATGGGGCGGAGCAGCGGGGGATGGGGGCCCACGCGGGTCTCGGGTCTCGCCGGGTCTCTTCCGAAGGGTCGCAAGTGCCCGCAGGTGGGCGTCGCCGGGCTCGCTCCCCGCCCCCCACCCCCGCCCCCGTGCCAAGCCCGGGCCGGCGGCCCCGCGCCCGGAGAGGCCCGACTGCGCCCGGCTCGGCGCGCGGAGACCCAGCCTGGGCCGCGCGGAGCCGCCGCCCGAGGGAGCTGGGGCCGGGCGGGCAGGGTAGGGGCGCGGAGGAAAGTCCCCGGCGGGCGGGCGGGCGGGCCGGCGGGGCGGGGCCGGCAGGGAAGAGGCGGGCCGGGCCCAGCGCACCCAGGGCCGCCGCGGCGGCGACGTGAGCGGCTCAGCGGACCCCGTGCCGGGGCCGGGCCGCACCCTGAGCCGCCGCCGAGCCTGCAGTGCCGCGAGCCGGGGCCATGCGACCGCCTCCGCTGCCGCTGTGGCTGCCGCTGCTGCTGCATCTGGGCGCCGCGGCGCCCCCGGCAGGTAAGCGGGGCCTTGGTCGCCCGGGCCGCACGGAGGCGTCGCAGCAGCGGGTGGGGGTGCGCGAGGAGCCGGCTCGGATGGGGGTGCGCGAGGAGCCGGCTCGGATGGGGGTGCGCGAGGAGCCCGGACCGTGTGGGGGTGCGCGAGGAGCCGGATCGGATGGGGGTGCGCGAGGAGCCGGATCGGATGGGGGTGCGCGAGGAGCCGGATCGGATGGGGGTGCGCGAGGAGCCGGCTCGGATGGGGGTGCGCGAGGAGCCCGGACCGTTTGGGGGTGCGCGAGGAGCCCGGACCGTGTGGGGGTGCGTGAGGAGCCCGGACCGTTTGGGGGTGCGCGAGGAGCCGGCTCGGATGGGGGTGCGCGAGGAGCCGGATCGGATGGGGGTGCGCGAGGAGCCCGGACCGTTTGGGGGTGCGCGAGGAGCCGCAGCGGGTGGGGGTGCGCGAGGAGCCCAGACCGGTGTCCAGTGGACAGAGGGCCACTCCGGGCAGTCTCTGGGCAAGCAGCTGGCGGACCTCCCTCCCAGGGTCCCGGCCACGGCGACACCCCTCCAAAGACCGAGGTCACTCCCCGACCCTTCGCTCCCACCCCCGCGCCTCCGCACCCTTGAAACTGTGCCGCCGCCTCCCAACTTCTCGGAAGAGCCAAAGGGAGGACGGAAACGAAGGGTCGGGACAGGCCGCCCCCTCAGGCCTCATCGGGCCGAACTGAACAACGCCCCTGCCCCTTGCCCCCTGCCTGGCGTGACCTGCCCAGGAGCCGGAGTAGAAGCGGGGCCTAGGCCGGCCTCGCCGCTTCCTACCGGCCACCAGCCACCGGCGGTGACCTCGGATTGGGGTGTGTTAGACAGTGGGTGTGAAATCCAGATGGTCCCTTCCCAGGATCACATGGATGGGGACAAGACCAAAATACCCGGACCCCACTTGAGGTAGGGCAGCTGAACTAGACTTAATCCCAGCTCAGCTCCCATCCAGACAGCTCCTTACCTGAGCTCAGCCTCTTCTCGGACACTAACTGACCATTCTTAGGAGCTAAATATGAACAATTTTTTTTGAGTTTTTATGAATTATTTTATTTTGCAACAAGCCTTTGAGATAGGTGCTATAATTCCATGCTAATTGTGTGCTATACATCACACAAACAAGAAAAGTGAACCCTGGTAAATGATTAACAGATACTGAAATAGAATACAGTTTTTAAAATGAAATTGTGGGTATATAGTTGTAGTCATAAAAGTAAGTACACTAATCAAAAAGTATACATTAACAGCAAGTCCAAATGCGAAGATATTCTTCTGAATTCCATGTTTCACCGAGCGTCAGAAACCACCAATCTTTTCGTCCTTTTCTTGTACATTATTCTGTACCCACATTCTCTGCATCTGATGGGATCCCTCGATTTTATTTCCCTTTCTCTGTGACATTCTCCACCGATATATATTATTGGCTGCTGCTCTGGAGGTCGGACGTCCCCCTGGGTGTCCACTGGTAGACCGGAGCACCGGCAAAGCCCTCGCTCTGCGATCCCAAACGGACAGCCTCAACAATTTTAAGAAAAGAAAGGGACAGCTGTAGGTGGGAGAGCGTTCCGTGCGTGTGGGTTTGTGTTTTGCTGGGTTCTTTCCCACGGAGAGACTGGTGTCAGTGGTTGGTCAGCACGTACAAAATCTCAAAAATGTAGAGGTTGCAAAGGCTCCTCGATTCCAGAGCTCCTTGCTGAGAGGTGACTGTGGGGATGTGTGTCCCCAACTCTGGTTTTTCCCTGGGGGTGGGCTAGATGGGTTCGACCCAGCACTCCACCCCTCCCCAGCTCAAGTCTTGAGCGACCTGCATCCCCACCCTCCCTGGGCCTCCTTCAGATGAGGTTTGGATATTGGCAAAATGTTGATAATTACCCAAACTGAGTGATGGACAAGGGGCAGCACGTTATACTAGAGCTGCTACTGACTGGTGGTGGTCTGTGAACTGTTTGTGAGTCACCTGCTGAGCCCAGAGGTTGAGGAAGTACTGGGACGCTGCAGTCTGGCATTACAATGATTACAGAGTAAACCGGTAGCAGAAAAAAATTTCTATACTTTTCACAATTTACAAGTGTCCTTTAGTAATCATGAAATTGTTTTTATGGTCAGAGGGGGAAAAAAAAGAGTATTGGAAACAATTTTTTTAAGGAAACGTGATATCTTAGAGTTGTTTTAGGGATAACGTGTGTCAGATATGGGCCCTGACCCAGTCTGTAGTGATGCTTTAAGCGGTGGCCATTTGCTTTGGTTAGAAAACTAATGAACACCATCAAAGTGCAGTAAGGCAGTAGTTTAATTGACCAGAGCATTGCAATGCTTTGACTTGTAGCTGCTGCTTAATTTTCCGGGGGATTGGCCAGGTACGTGTGCCACGGAATTTTGTTACCATGGTTTGCTGCCTTGAACATAGAAAGCTTCTAATGTTCTTAGAAAGGCGGTAAACCTCATCCACATAAAAGCCATTGCAAATAAGTGTGTATCAAGTGACTCCCATTTGTCCATAATTCGTCCATAATTTCAACAGTTGGAACTACTAAGGAGCTGGGATGGGATGTTTTGGGCAAGCTCTGTAAATGATGGTAATAACTATGATTTATGGGCCGCTCTTCTAGGTCAGCCGGAGTCCTACCTGCTTTATATACATTGTCTTTCTTAATTTTTCCAACCATTCTTTTGAAGCAGTTGACAGCCCCATTTTCCTCCCAAAACACAAAACCATCCTTTTTAGGAAGAGACAAATGGTCTGCGGAAATAAGCCCATGCCCAGTATTCACTAGAGGGAGCAAATTCCTGGTTGTGGCTGAGGGTTCAGGGATTTTTTTTTTTTTTTTTTTACACTTCTCACTGCGGTGCTGGAGGTGGGCTCATTGATATTAATCATCATTGGTAGTCACATGACCCATTGATGTCAAGATCCTGAAGGGTCTTCGATTGTCAAGATTACATGATTAATTTTAATGATAATTGTACTTCATTTTATTATCTGTGTGGGACGTGTGTTCAGCTGTACTGGGAAGACCCAGGATAGCCTCTTAAACTGTGTAACGTCTCAAACAGCTGGACCCAGCATAGATCCGAGGTGCCGGTTGGGGCAGGAAGGCGGAACAGAAGCCGCTGTGGTTGTAGGTACAGAGGGCACACCTGCCACCTAACACCTAGCTGATCTCTTCTCACCACTAACAGTGTAGGAGTCATCGCCCCACAGACCAGGGTTAGAGTAGGGCGTTGACACCTACTTAGGGCTGTGAGCTTTTCTCTTTTTTTGTTGTTATGGTTAATCTTCACGTGAGGATATTTTTTCCCATTGATTTTCAGAGAGAGTGGAAGGGAGGGAGGAGGAGAGAGAGAGAGAAACATCGTTGTGAGAGAGACACATTGATTGGTCGTCTCCCACACCTGCCCCGACGGGCCGGGGATCGCACCCATGACCTTTCGTTGCCGGGGCCGTTGCCCTCACCACTGAACCACACCGGCCAGGGCTGTGCGCTCTCCTCTTGTGGGAGCTGGGGTATCATCGGAGCCCTGGTCCACCCGGAGACTGCCTTGGTTTCCAGCTGCCGCTGTAACAAACAGCCGCCGCCTTTGACGACGCGAATTCATCAGCTGGCAGTTTGGGGGCCCGGGGTCAGGCCCAGTCTCGCTGGGCTCAAGCCAAGGTGTGGGGAGGGACGCCTTCCTTTCTGGAGGTTCCCGGCCTTTTGTAGCTTCTAGAGAAACACTCATGTGGTGACATGAGTCCACCCAGCTATCCCAGGACAACCCCCCTATTTTTAGGTCTTCTGATTAGGAACTTAAATTTCATTACAACCTGATTCCCCTTTGCCATGAGCTTAATATAGCGGGCGAGCAAAGGTAGGTTTACGGCTGTTTGGATGGGAGGAGACATGCAGGTTATGGTGATTACAATAGCTTTATTCATTCAAAAGAACATCACTCAGCTGTAACCCTGCTTTTGCCCACCCTGTATGTTCACAGGGCACAGACGTCTTGGGGGTGCGCTAGTTTGTGTTCAACAGGGTCGGACCATTGAATACAGGGTGCGGCGCAGGGCCGGGTGGTCCCTAAAGGCAGGGTCTGGGGAGCGGGTGGCCCGCCCATCAGAACCCCTGAAGTAGCCCACCTTACGAGTCAGACCGAGCGGCGGTGTGTGGCTTGCCTCCCGTCTGATCTCGCGTGGCCCTCACCAGGCTGTGGGAGAGATCATTCCACTGCCCCCGCAGACACGGGCTCAGGGGCGGTCTTGGCAGAATCTCATGGCTGAGGTGACCAGATCAGGATTCCCACGGGAACCCTGTGTCCATAGATCCTGCCCTCTTCCCAGGTGGACAGCAGGTGCTATGGCCTAAGTATGTGACTCTAGAGCCATCCAGCTAAGTCTGCGGCCCAGGGTTGTCCACCCACAGCCTGCCCCAGCCTCTGAGACCAAAGGGAGGAAAGGCAGCCTGGGCTGCGTGGGTTCAAGGAGATGACCGGGCTGAGGGCACACGAAGCTGGCTCCGTTATCTCTGAGGGCGATCGGTGCCTACTCCTCAGACACGGGATAAAACAGCCCCCAGACCCGACAGCGCCAGCCGTGCTGGAACTCACAGCTGTGTCGGGGACACTGTGGGTGAGCTGTGCACGGCGACAGGAGGTGGCGGTCACGCGGCGATCACACCGTGCTCGGCGCTGCACAGATGCTCGCTCGTTTGGTCCCGCCACAACCCTTCGCCGCCACACTGCCGTCACCCCCACTTGACAGATGACACCAGTGAGGCACAGAGAGCTTGAACGACTGGCCCGAGCTCCCGCCAGGCGTGTGCGACTTTGAACCCAGGCGTCCGAGCTCTGGAGCCCACACTCCTAGCCACCGTGGCATAAACGAAGTGGGGACAGGGAGCCCGGGCCCTGGGCATGGCCTGTGGGAAGCAGCTGATAAGGTGGCACCTGAGATGCGGAACATGGCATGATGGGAAAGAAGGTTCCGGATGAAGGGAGATGCCGGGAGGGAGTATGTCCAGCATGTCCCAGAATCGAGGAGGCCACGCGGCCCGAGTGAGGGAGTGAGGTGCGGGGCAGTGATCTGAGACAGTCACGAATGAGACCCCCCCATGCTTTGCTGGGGACACAGCCCGAGACTTGTTTCTCCTCCGCCTGTGGTGAGACAGGGGATTCCCAGAAGCTCAACTCTCGGAGCCCGACGGCGGCCCCGTCTCCACCTCAGTCAGAATGGGAGTCGAAGGGTGTGGAGTGCCCCTCTGAAGACTGCAGCTGCCGCAAGGAGGCCTCTGGTCCCCGGCGGTTGGGGTGGGACCCTTCCTGCGCTGCGGGGCCCCTCGGGGCTTCCTGTCCTAGCGGAAAGTCTAGACAGGGAGACAGGCTTCGGGGGAAGGAGGAGGGCGAGGGGGTCCCTGCTGACTCCTCCCGGGATGGAGACGGACGGCAGAATAACGGTCCCCAGAGATGTCTACGTCCCGAGCCCCCGAGCCTGTGACTGTTACTTTACGTGGCAAACAGAACTCTGCAGATGTGGCCGTTAAGGATCCTGGCGTGGGGAGGTGACCCTGGATGTGGGCTGCGCGGGCCCAGTACTCACACGGGTGCTTGAACGAGGGGAGAGGGAGGCAGGCGAGCCTGTCGGGAGCTGGCGGCGCAGGACGGGGGGCCGAGGGCCGGGAGCAGCTCCTGGGAGCTGGAAGAGGGAAAGGGGCCGGTTCTCCCCCCGCCCACACCTTCGCCCAGGGAGACCAGTTTCAAACTTCTGACCTTTGGAACTGCGAGAGCATAAATCAGGGGTGGTGGTGGTGGTTTATCTCAGCATCGATAGGAAAGTCATAGAGGAAGTAAAAAGAGCTCCCAGAGATTCTCGGGGGGGCACTCGGCCCTGGGGCGCTGCAAGGCCCTCCCCAGAAACGGCTGCAGTGCTCAGCCCGTGTGTCTGCCCCGGCCCTGGCTCTCGGGAGGCCTGGTGTGAATTGGGACAAGTGTTGCTGGTTCAGTAGAGACCTGGGGTGAAATGAAGGTCAGCCCAAGTTCATAGCCTTGGAGACAATGTCGCGTACACAAGTGGGCCAGGGCCTCTTGGTGACAGTCTTTCAGAGGGCATGGCGGGCGGTCGGGACGCCAGTCTTCAGTATGGGATGCTTTACTGAGTGGGCTTGGGCTGTCCCGCATTGAACCTTTTCCCGGCGTGTCCTCCGGCACCTGGGCGTTTCTCCTTGATCCTCAGTCTCCATCCTGTCGTGATCAAGCTTGCTTTTTTGTTTTTTTTTATCCTCACCTGAGGACATTTTTCCATTTTTTTATTTTGTTGTTGTTCAGACAGTGGGAGGGAGAGAGAGAGAGAGAAACATCGACGTGAAAGGGACACATCGAGTGGCTGCCACCCACACGACCCAACCAGGGCCGGGGACAAACTGCAACCGAGGTACATACCCGTAGCGGGAGCCGAACCCGGGTCTCTCCGGACCGCAGGCCGACGCTCTAACCGCTGAGCCAAACCGGCCAGGGCTCGATCGAGCTTTCTTACGAGAGGACAGGTTCTGAGCTAGCCGTCTCCGGTCTGGTCCCAAAACGTCTCTGCCGGGGGGTCTCGAGCTTGTGTCTTGGAGGGGATTCCTCATGGTGGCTCCCTGGGGAGAGTCGTTCTCCATCGGTCATGAGGATGAGAACCACCCGCGAAGCGTGTGGAGATGCTCACTCCTGGTCTGGGGTGGGCCTGAGGGCCGGTGTCCCAGCGAGTGTGATGCTGGGGTCCTGGACGAACAGCAGCCCTGAGGGAGCCCAGAGGCCGGGGCTCACCCTGCCACCTGCCTTTGGGCTTTGCACGCCTGGTTCAGTGTGTGTCTGGTGACGGTGTCCCACACGCTACCTTAGTCTGGGGCTGATGCATGGCACGTGGCCAGGGGAGTCTGCCACTATTTACCCCTTGTCTCTGAAGAAGAAACTGAGGCCTGCCCAGGCACACACTCGCAGGAACGATGGGACAGGTGTGCCAGGCGGGCCAGACTCCAGAGCCCAGGGCCAGTTCATAAGAGCCGGCAGGTGGAAAGGCAGCCCCCCGCCCTCCATTCCTACGGACTGCGTCGACGGTGCCATCTTCAGTCACAGGTGGGGTGGGGGGACGTGCCAGGGAGCTCAGGTAATGCAGTTACGTACTTGGGCAACACCAGAGCTGTGCAGACGGTTTGGCCGCGTGCATTGCGGTATGTTTGTGACTGATTCGTCTCCTTTGCCCTCCCCGTCTCTCCCCTCCCCCGCTTCCCTTCTCCCATCCAGGTCCCTCTCAAGACCAGCTGCCTGCTCCTCAGAACCCGGAGATTTGGCTGTACAATGCCCAGCAGGTTCTGCGCTGGGGGCCGGTGTCCCTGAGCAACGAGACGAGGCCGGTGGCGTATCAGGTGCAGTTCACATTGTAAGCTGATGTTCCTTGGGGTCCTCGGTGGGACCCGTGGGGGGCTGGTGGGAGCCGTGGGGGGCTGGTGGGACCCGGGGGGGCTGGTGGGACCCGTGCGGGGCTTGCTACTGCTCTTGCAGGACTGCCGGCAAACCCATGAGAAGCACATCTGTCTCTGATACTTTTAAAATCAACAAGGACAAAGATTTCACAACTTCCCACACATCAGAGAACTCCGCTGCGTAACCACATGGCTTCTGAGTTGGGTGGAAGTTGATTCCCTTATTGGTTTCGGGAAATAGAAAGGAAACACCCAAATTGTCAGTTGTTCTTTGTTTACCTTATTCAACAAGTGAACGTTATTGGCTAAATCATTTTATTTTATTTTATTAGTTTTTTTTTTTTTATCCTCGCTCGAGGACTTTTTTCCATTTTTGTTCAGATAGAGTGGGAGGGAGAGAGAGAGAGACATCAATGTGAAAGGGATACATCGAGTGGCTGCCTCCCACAAGACCCCGACCAGGGCCAGGGATGAATCACAACTGAGGTGCGTGCCCTTGACCAGAATCGAACCTGCAACTCGGTGGTCCGCAGGCTGACGCTCTAACCGCTACGCCAAACTGGCCAGGGCTAAATCCTTTTATATTACTGAATAAACCAAAGTAGACAAAGTGGTAATGCCCACTGCTTGTGAAATATGGTTGTCTGCCCTGGCCTGTTTGGCTCAGTGGTTAGAGCGTCAGACGGTGGACCAAAGAGTCTCAGGTTCTATTCCGGTCAAGGGCATGGACCTCAGTTGCGGTTGGGTCCCCAGCCCTGGTCAGGGTCCTGCAGGAGGCAACCAGTCGATGTGCCTCTCTCATATGCATGTTTCTGTCTCTCTTTCTCTTTCTCTCTCTTCCTCCCACTCTGTCTGAAGATAAATGTAAAATATCCTTGGAGGAGGATTTTTTAAAAAAAGAATTTCACTGTGGTGACAGCAGAGAGCTGCAGACCCCGTGTCCTCCAAGAGCAGGGCTTTGCCACTATGCTCAGGTCAGGGCCAGAAGCTGGCCCTGCTTGGCAGTTAGTGACCATTGTATCCTAGAGCTCAGTGAGGTCTCAGTAGGGACGTCTCCACTGGCTTGTGACCAGCATTCCTTAACCCTGAACACAGAAGGACATCGGTGGGTTGACCAAGCGAGCGCTTGTAAATACTAGAAAGGCTGGCCTGGTTGGTGTGGCTCAGTGGTTGAGCGTCGTCCCATGGACCAAGGGGTCCTGGTTCAATTCCTGGTCGGGGCACATGCCCGGGTTGGGGGCTCATTCCCCAGTGGGGGGCATGTAGGAGGCAGCCGATCGATGTTTCTCTCACACCAGTGTTTCTCTCTTTCTCTCTCCCTTCCTCTCTCTCTAAAAAATCAGTAAAAATATATTTAAAAAAGAAAAAGAAACAAAGGATGGGGTGAATGTGAATGTCCATTTGGAAAAGTTATGGGGCCACTAAAAACTAAAACAGGCTGATTTTGTTTTTGTTTCCAGTTGCAAATATGATGGTGAGAAAGGGCTGTGCGTTTTTGGGTTTTTTTTTTTTAGATACTTTTACATGTTTGGGAGATATATATATATATATATTTTTTTTTCTTTTTTTCTTTATTGATTTGAGAGAGGAAGGAAGAGGGAGAGAGAGAACATTGATTGGCCTTGGTTGGTTTGGCTCAGCGGTAGAGCGTCGGCCTGGGGACCAATGAGTCTAGGGTTCGATTCCGGCCAAGGGCACGTACCTTGGTTGCAGTTTGTCCCCGGCCCTGGTCAGGGTCGTGCAGGAGGCAACCAGTCGATGTGTCTCTCTCACTTCGATCTTTCTCTCTCCCTCTCTTCCCCTCCCATTCTGTCTGAAGATAAATAGAAAAATATCCTCAGGAGAGGATTAAAAAAAGAGAGAGCTAGAAACACTGATGAGAGAGAACATCGATTGCCCACCTCCTGCATGCCCCCCACTGGGGATCGGGTCCAAAACCTGGCCATGTGCCCTGACCAGGAATCGAACTGGCGACCTCTTGGTGCAGGGTCCACGCTCAGCCACTGAGCCACATCGGCCTGGCATCCATGTTTGGGATATTTTAGTTCCATTAAGTACTTTAGTTTTGAGGCTTGTGGGGCGTCATTAAACATTACTATAATTGTGAGTGGAAACAACCCACGTGTCTATCAACAGCTGAACGGACAAGCAAAACATATTTCTGCGGTGGGATATTATTGGGCCATTATTGGGAGAGTGGGAGGGCTAACATACTGATACAAGCTGCAACATGTATCATGCTCGAAACCTTGCTAAGTGAAAGGAGCCAATTACAAAAGCCCGCACAGTGTGTGATCCCATGTACAGGAAATGTCCGGAACAGGCAAATCCAGAGAGACAGGGAGCAAACAGCGGTTGCTTCTGGGTGTCGGGCTTTCAGGGGGGTGATGAAGGTGTCCTAAGACTGACGGTGGCGATCGTCGCACAGTGCCGCTGCGTGGCGCTCTCGGGGGGTGACCTGCGTGGCGTGTGGACTACGGCGGATGCAGCTGCTTGCAGAGCCTCGGCTCGGAGGAAACGCTTTTGCACAAGGGGAGAGAGAATCCTGGAAACAAAGCCCTTTCTTTCCCCGCAGCCCCGCCAGCAGTACCTGGATGGACGTCAACGGAAGGAACTCGCCCATCATGGTGAACTGTTGGGGGATCCTGGCGACAGAGTGCGACTTCACCCCCGCCGGCCTCTCGCTGGACTTCCTGGGCTTCCCGATGCATTTCAACGTCTCTCTGCGCGTCCGCGCGGAGCTGGAGACGCGCACGTCTGCCTGGGTGGCAGCACCTTGGTTCCAGCACTACCGGAACGGTGAGAGCTCGGCCCCCCTGCCTCCGCCGCGCTCCCTCGTGTTCCCTTCCACCGGGCGGTGTCGGCTCCCTGCACCTCGGTTCTGCCTCTTACCCTGAGTAGCCAGCCAAGAGGTGGGTGTGTGGGCAACCCAAGTCCTGGCCGTGGACTTGCTTAGACCAGGGGCTGGCAAACTGCAGCCTGCTGGCCAGATCTGGCCCACCAGCCTGTTTTTGTAAATAAAGTTTTTTTTTTTTTTTTTTTTTTTTTTTTATCCTCACCCGAGGACATTTTTGCATTTTTTGTTCAGACAGAGCGGGAGAGAGAGAGAGGAAGAGAGAGAGAGAGAAACATCGATGTGAAGGGACACATCGAGTGGTTGCCACCCACACGACCGACCAGGGCCAGGGACAAACTGCAACCGAGGTACGTGCCCTTAGCGGGAACCGAACCCGGGTCTCTCCGGACCGCAGGCCGACGCTCCAACCACTGAGCCAAACCGGCCAGGGCTGTAAATAAAGTTTTATTGGAACGCAGCCACATCGTCTTCTCATGCACTGGCTGTGGGCGTTTTCACACCAGCCGGCAGGGTAGCTGCAGCGGGGTCCGGCCAGCCTGCAGGGCCTGGATTTTCTCCGGCCTCACTGAGGAGTTTGCTGACCTCCGTGCGGGCGGACGGCTAGCAGGGGCCGCCCTGATGGCCCTCCCGTTCTTGCCCTTCTTTTATGTTCAAGGAGGACTTTATTTCAGCCTTGAACAGTACCTGGCACAGAGTGGATACTCCATGAGTATTTGTTGAATGAGTGGATGGAATATGTGCCCCCGGCTTTGGAAGGGCGCTTATTAGGCTCCAGACCCCAGCTGTGCCCGCTGTCCCTTCGGGGTCTGTGGTTCATGGAAGCGCGTCCTCAGGACGCGAAGCTGCTGTGGACAGTCAGCCCCTCTGCGTCCTCAGTGCACGACAGAAGGCAGCCTGTGCCCGCGGCAGGCACGTTGGGTCATACCGGATCCAGGACCTCCTCGGCAGGGCCAGTCTCTGTGCTGACGTCGCAGCAGTGACAGCTGGCTCCCTGGCTCCATGCCACTCCGGTGGGCAAGCCACAGGGAAGTCTGCAGAGTGTGCTGCGGGGTGAGCGTCTGCCAGAGGGTTTTGGGAACGAGCTCGGCGTCATCTCATCTGGCTGGCGGCGGGCCAGCCCAGCCCTGTCCGTCTGGGTCTGCTCCTCACCGGGGCAGATGAGCTCGGGGGACACAGGCGCAGACCCCGCAGGGACTGGCGTGCAGACTGAATGCCTCGCCTCCCCCAGGGGACAGCGCGGAAGCTGAGAGCAGTCAGGCCACTGTCGTGAGCATGGCCACTCACACCGGTGTGACTGTGAGCAGCCTCTTGGAGCTCGGAGGACCCGGCCTGTACTCTGACCCGGGTTCCTCTGGTGAATTGTACAATGTAGATGCTTACTCGTTTATAGCGCATCATGAGTCACAGCCCTTGGCTGGCCTGGGAGCTCCATGAGAAGCCCTACCAGGCAGTCTTCGGTCCTCTCTCGGTGGGGTATTTCAGCACACTGCCACCGCAGCTGGGAGACGGATGGATTTAAAGGTCCGTGAACACCACTTTGGTTCATTCACATAGAAATGGTGTAACAAAACATCCGTGGTGGGTGAGGGCGAACGGTGTCAGCCAGGAGCCAGGGTGACCTCTGGTCAGGGTCAGCACGGCCCGACGGGGACACTGCCTTTCAGCTGGAATAACCTGAGGTCCTGGTCGGAAGCCGTGTCTGCACTTTGCTGAGCAAGGTGATCCTTGCCGCTGGGCGTGTCCTCTGGGGCTCCAGAGAGTTCTCTTGTGGAGCATGGTAAGAGGTATTGGCCTCTAAGCCAAGGAGGCTCCTTACCTGCCCAGTGTGAGTCTCGGCTCGTGCACCTGAGCGCTCTCCAGGGGGACCAGAGAGACCCCTTCTGGGCTGCCGTGGGGACTGTGGAGAGGACCCTACCTGCCTGAAGGCAGAGGCCCCGGGTGCCGCACTGTGTGCCGCAGCGCGAATACACTATGTGTGTGTGTATTTACCTATTTTTTGTTTTTGTTTCTGATTCTATTTCAGTGACCATTGGGCCTCCAGAAAACATCGTGGTGACCCCAGGAAAAGGCTCCCTGTTCATCACGTTGTCCCCTCCCTTCAACATCAGCGCACCCTCCCCGGTCACATTTTCATATTATGTCCATTACTGGGAAAATCCAGGAAACCCACAGGCAAGAGCATTTATTTGTTTTAATTTTTAATTTTCTTTTCTTGGAGTTTCTGACATAGGAAAACAAAGTAGATTTAAAATGGACAAGGAGCCCTGGCCGGTGTGGGTCAGTGGTTAGAGTGCTGGCCCATGGACCGATGAGTGGTGGGTTTGATTCCGGCCAAGGGCACGTACCTCAGTTGCGGTTCGTCTGGCCCTGGTCGGGGTCATGCAGGAGGCAATCAGTCGATGCGCTTCTGTCATATTGATGTTTCTCTCTCCCTTTCTCCCTCGAACTCCAGCTAATGATGAATAGAAAAACATCCTCGGGTGAGGATTAAATAAATAAATGGACAAGGAGCCCTGGCCTGTTTGGCTAGGTGGTTAGAGCGTTGGCCTGCACACTGAAGGGTCACAGGTTCAATTCCCTGTCAAGGGCACGTACTTGGGTGCAGGTTTGATACCCATCGTGCCCCCCGCCCCCATCGGGGCATGTTTGGGAGGCGGGAGGCAACCATTCAATGTGCCTCTCTCTCCCCCCACACCCTCCCTCCCTTCCACTCTCTCTTAAAACGCAAAAAAAGAGAAAAAGAAAGAAATTAATGGAAAAATATTTCTTGGTGAGGATTAAAAAAAAACTGGACTCGGAGAACCGGCTACCCCAGTGCAGCCGAGTGTCAGACCTGAGCTGGTTTGCGCCCCCTCTCCAGACCTGTTCTCGCCTCGCCCCGTCCTTTGAGGGCCCATCTGATGTCACCCCTTCCCGTCGCCTGGGGCCTGGACCTGGCGGCACGGTGCTCGTGCATCTCCGCCCGCCTAGAGCTTGGAGAAGGTTCCAGCGGGTCAGTCTCTGCAGCAGCATCGCCAGTGCCGTCGGCTCGACTGTCTAAACGCCTCCGTTTGCACCGCTCGCGAAGAGGGCTGTGTGGACGGATGGGCAGCCCCCTGGCAGGACAGAGTTCCAGGAAGAAGGGACAGTGGGTGCCCGAAGGCGAGGCCCCTGGAGAACTGTGGGCCTGTCAGATGCACGTGAGGGGCTGGGAAGGGGCTTCGGGGACCGAAGAGGGCAGACCGAGGGCCTGGGCAGCCCTGGGCCGCGCAGGACGGAAGGGCGGCTCAGTTCCTGGCTGGCCACGCTGCATTTCACGAGGTTTCATTATCTGTGTAGACGTCAAGATTTCCACATTTCGACATCATCCTAATTTTTATAGTAATCACAAGAGCTTATGTTTATCAAGAGCTTTCTTCGTGTCAGGCACTGGGCAGGCATCTTAAACACATCATCTCATTTAATCTTTCCACCAACCTGTGACGCGGAGAGAGAGAGAGAGAGAGAGAGAGGCGCGTGGTCAGGGAGCTGCCCGGGGTCAGCAGCTGCCAGCTAGCAGGACACCTCGCCGCGGGGTCCCAGCTCTACTCTGCTTTTCTCCCATGTCATTTATACGCGCACCTTCTCGTCATTGCTTCGTGGCGAGTCTGAGGTCACCGGGGAGGCGAGCTCACTGAAGAACAACAGGGTGTCGGCATACAGGGAAGAAGGAGTCCTAGCTTCCCCACATCTGAGGCCAAGAGCCAGTCACCTGGAGTACGGAGAGTCTCGGAAGACCCCGCAGTGAGGTGGCTGCCCCGTGCATGCACTTCAGAAGGGGTGCTGGGAATGGGGGAGTAGGCTGGGCGCTCTGACCACATTTATCCCCACCATTTAGTTGGTTTCCTGCCCCAGCGTGTGTGCGCCGTGTCACGCAGCACCCTCCCAGGGGCCTGTCCTTGCGCGGAATCGGCGCCCAGAGGGCGAGCTGCTGCTGGTGCCGTGGAGCTGGGCAGGGCTGCCCAGTGCGGGGGGACCCGACCTCCGGGACCGGGAAGCCAGACTCGTGGAGTAGCGTGTCGCAGCCTCCACCTGCAGCCCGCTCGGCGTCGCTCAGCCATCTGGGCTCCGGTTTTCTCTTGTGCGGAATGAAACGGTTGAGTTGGAAGTTAGAATCCACGGGGCCCTACGCCCTTTCCTTCTTCCAACCAGCGCATCTAGACTTTGGACTTCCATGAACACAACACTCTGGAGCTGAAACGACTCCGAAGGCCACCAGTCTGCTCTCCGGTCCAGCCGCAAATCTGTGTCAGGGTCCCCAAGAGCAACCCCGAGATTGGCTCCAGGACCCGGCACCTGGCTGTGTTCCTGGCGATGATTTACAGAGAAAGGAAACAAAGCAAACTCAGCAAAGGGAAGAGGCAGATGGGCCCCGCCCAGAGGGAACGCGGCACAGGCTTTTCAGAATCCCGTCCCCATAGACACGCTGGACACATTTCATTCCTTGTCACCAGAGGTGCCCCGTGGGAAGTGCGGCCTGCCAGGGAAGCTCGTCAGCCTCGGGCCCCGGGGGGCAGTCCCGTAGGCCGCCTCTTCCAGGCAGGCACCAAACCTGCAGCCAGGGTGCTCTGCGCAGCAGCAGTGTCGGGGACAGTGAGGTTCATCCGAGGCACGACTGTTGCTCATTGAAAACTTTTCTCAAAACTCCAGACAGCCTGCAGGGAAGCGAGTGTCGACAAGAGCTCTGTCCGTACAACACCTTCTCGGTTAAGGGGTGGCGGGATGCTCGGAAGCCCAGGTCCCCGAGTCCGGCCGGGGCCAGCCGGGCCGCAGCAGCCTGCCTTCCTGGGGACGGCGGTGGCGCCGGAATGTGAGCTCCCTGCAGTCTGATTCTGCGTCTGAGAAACCGGCCGGCTGCTGAAATAAAGCCTGCAGGGGCTCCGTCCCCAAGGCTGCCTCGCGGCATCGCGGGCTCTGCGTCTCCCCTCTCCCAGGCAGGCCGTGGGCATGAAGAGGAAGAAAATAACATTAACAGTCACCTGTAATCCTGCCATTCATAAATGACACAATTACTTTGTATCTTCTTAAATACAATCGGGTTCTGTGTATCAGTCAACACGTAGCAGCTCCGTCTGTCCACGTGACTGAGTGTAGGTTACACCACCGTCTCAGATGGCTACAGTGTAGTCCACTGTACCCCAAAACAAGAAAGCAGTCTGCTACAGGAAGACCGCTATTGCCATGCTGTGGTCCCGCGTTTTTTTGGTTCCGGTGGAACATGACAGCTTCGTCCAGGACGAGAGGGAGAAGCTGCTGACAAGTGACAGGTGTGGAGAGGAGCCGGAACCCCCTGAGAATGGGGGATCCAGCTGTTGACCGATGACCGAAACTGTAAGAGGAATCAGCAGAGCGAAGTTCAAACTGGAAGCAGCTTGGCAGCTAAAGGCACGTTGTTCCCTAGAATGCTCTTTTCTCTCTTGACTCACTTGAAGTATCTAGATTAGATTAACCACGAACTATAAAATGTTCATTTTAAAGGAGAAAATTTTGCACAGCCGGAGTGGCTCAGTGGGTGAGCGTGGACCCTGCACCAAGAGGTCGCCGGTTCGAGTCCCAGTCAGGGCACATGCCCAGGTTGTGGGCCCATCCCCAGTGGGGGGCGTGCAGGAGGCAGCCAACCGATGTTCTCTCTCATCGATGTTTCCATCTCTCTCCCCCTCTCCCTTCCTCTCGCTCTAAAGTCAATAAGGAAAACAAAGTGTTAAAGAGAAAAAGTCCTGGTAGAGATGGCTCGGCGCCCAGCTTCGGACCGTCCGCTGCTGCAGTGGGGTTCGAGGGGTTCGAGGGGCCCTCGCAGCCAGGGCACAGCCCGTGCGGCCGGCACAGTGCATCCGCTGGGCCAGGGCCCCTGGTGACAGCACCTCCTGGCTCTGCTGTCGTGCTCACTGTGAAGTTGGGGAAACACTGAAAAGGGGGAAGGGGTGCCCGGATCTGCGGGGTCATTTACATGTGGCCGTTTGTGTTTTCTACGTAGGTCAAAGGCCCCATCCATAGCAACTTGATTGTGTTGAAGGATTTAAAACCCTTAACAGTGTACTGTTTACAAGTCAGGGCAGAACTGTTTTGGAAATTACAGAACATCGCTAGACCCGGGCATTTAAGCAACGAAACTTGTCACAAAACAGAAGCGGACGGTAAGACATTTCTTCTTCTTGTGCCCTTTCTGAGCTGGGAAGAGAGTACCCCTAAGACAGTGAACGTGGGAACACCTACTAGGTGAACGGGGACAGGAGTGGGGAGACCCAGAGGGAAGGTGCGAGCAGAGCTGTGCTGGCCTCTCCAGCAGCCAGAGCTGCCACGCAGGGGCGCTGGCTTTGTACCTGCCGGGTCGCCTCACTACCCCTGATGGAGCATCTGGGGCTGCAGGGGGCCCGAATCTGTCCTTTTCACTGGGACAGGAACCCTGTTGAAGCAGCCGGCAGAAGAAAATGCCCCAGTGTTTGTGTCATGCAGGTCTGGCCCTGTGGCTCACTTGATGTCTTCTCTTTAGCCTCCACCAGGTTCCAACAAGGCATCCTGATCGCTGTGGCGACCTTTCTGTCCCTGGCAGGGGTGGCAGGGAGCTGCCTCTTCGTGATCCTGAAGTACAGAGGCCTGATTAAGCACTGGTTTCACACGCCCCCAGGCATCCCAGTGCAAATAGAAGAGGTATGTGTGCGCATATCGGAGTGGGCGGCCTGTCCACAGCCCTTGGAGCACCTCGAGGGACGGCAGTGGGCAAAGCCAGGGACAGATATTTGAGTTTCAAAGGTGTGGGGTTCTCTATACATCATGTGCGTGGCAGCCTTATTCACGACAGCCGAAAGACTGCGGCAGCCCAGTGTCTGCCGGAGGATAAGCGGACAAAAAATGTGATGTACACATGCGTGTGATGGAATATTACTCAGCCTTGAAAAGGAAGGAGAGTCTCACACCTACTAGAGCGTGGGTTAAACCTTGAGGACACTGTGCTAGGTGAGATAAGCCAGTCACAAAAAGACAAAAACCAGGTGACTCTGCCAACAGGAGGTACTTCGAGTGTCCGGCTGGTAGAGACCGTGGAGAAGGGAGGTTGCCAGGTCTGGAGGAGGGACCTGGGGAGTTAGCTGTTAATGGGGACAGGGTTTCACTTTTACAGAATGAAAGTTCTGGAGGCAGAGGCTAGCAGGGGTTGGACAACAATAACAGTATACTTTACACTGTCAACTAGATGCTTAAAATGGCTACAGTGATCACTTTTATGTTAGTGTATATTAGCACAATTTAAATTTTTTTAAAATATATTTTTATTGATTTTCAGAGAGAGAGGAAGGGGGAGGGAGAGAGAGAGAAACATCGATGAGAGAGAGAACATCGATTGGCCGCCTCCTGCACGCTTCCTGCTGGGGATTGAGCCCAAAACCCAGGCATGTGCACTGGGGAATCACACTGGCGACCCCTTGGGACTGTGCTCAACCAACCAAGCCACACCAGCAGGGCTAAAAAATATTTTTTAATGGCACGAGGTTGGCCAAAACGGCGATCTGGCCAAGAGGCTGGCAGCAGGAGGGTCTCTGTCCGGGCAGCACGGCGGTCCTGTGCCTTTTGGAGAACGTGAGGGTGAGCCCGGCGGGAGATGCGGAGGCAGCAGGGCCAGAAGGCAAGCGCGTGCGCCTTGGGGCGGACCGTGCGCTCCGGAGTCTTCTAGAGTCGGTGCAGCCAGAACTCGAATGCGAGGCTTTGCACACCAGGGCTCAGAGGGAAGTCTTTGCTTCCGGACAGTTATTATTCTTCGGTAAAGTGGGGGTGAAGTTGATGCCCCGTTTCCTGGGAAACAGTCTCACTCTGTTATCTGGTCTCAGCCTGTTATATCTGGAACGAACGGACGCTCCATAAGGCCCGAGGCTGTGCTGCAGCCCGGCCCCCAGGAGCTGCGCTCACGTGGTCCCTCCCCGTCCTGAGTGTTCCAGGTGCCCGGCCTCAGCCAGACTGCACATGCCGGTCCCGACCCAGCCTCTCAGCGAGAGGTCTGAGAGTCAAACTCACGGAAGTGGAGAGGAGAATGGCGGTTGCCAGGGGCCGGGAGGGGAGCGGGCAGCTGCCGTTGGGGTCTGGAGGATGAGTGAGCTCCAGACCTCCGTGCAGCATGAGTGTAGTGAGTACTGCACACTTCAGTCTTGTTAGGAGGGTAGAACTCACATTGTGTTCTTACCACAGACACAAACAGCAGTGAGCCCTCAAAACTTCCTGGCGGAGCCTGGCTGGTGGGCTCAGTGCTTGAGCATCATCCCGGCACCAGGAGGTTGCTGGTTCCATTCCCAGTCAGGGCACGTGCCTGGGTTTGGGGCTCAGTCCCCAGAACGGGTGTGCAGGAGGCGGCCCATAGATGATGTTTCTCTCTCTACCTCTCCCTTCCTCTCTCTCTCCAAAATCACTAAAAAAAAAAAAAAAAAAAAAATTAAAAAAATATATTTAAAAAAAATCTTCCATGGTTGATGCTGCCACAAATAAGGGCTCCTGAGGGTCTCAGAGTGGGATTGTGCTCACACCCCTCCCACAGCGCCCCACCTGGTCAGGGAGCGCACTGCAGGCTCCTCGGGCTGGGAGCTAAAACCCAAAGTCTTTAGGTTCACGTTCCCGGGAGAGTGAGAAGCATCGATCAGAGGCCACCGAGGTCACATGAATGTAACCAGTCCTGTCTCACTGACGTTTCTGAGGTGCCCGGGGTCACCAGCCCTTCCCTCCAGTCGGTGGCTATAGTGCCCGTGTCCCACAGCCAGGCACTGGCTTCCCGGTAACTCGGTGGACGCGAGGCCGAGCCTGAAGCAGAGGCAGGCGGGGAAGGGACAGTTTGCTGCTGACAGGTGTCACTTTACATTGAGAACCGTGGCTCTCCTCATGGCCCCACCAACCCCCGGCTGGCAGCCAGCGAGTTTGCTCTCTGTCCCCCTTGGCACTGACCGAGAGGTCCCCTACCCCTCCGCTGAGCGCTAGAACTGGAGCCTCTTAGGACGAGTGATCACAAGCCTGCGCCCATTTCCGCAGGGCAGGGCCCCTCTGTCACCGTCCGCGTGTGGCCGTGGCTGGGCCTTGGCGCATGTCAGTGAGGCGGCAGGCCGGGCGGTGGGCAGGTCGCAGAGGTCGTGTCCTTGGTGGGCACAAGGGGAAGTTGTACCTGAATAGAACGTGATGGTGCCGGCTAAAACCGAGTCCGAGGCTGGTACTTGGAACGGAAGCTAATCACGGTGTTGCTTTTCCACCTGTCCAAGTATTTGAAGGACCCGGCTCAGCCCATCTTGGAGGCCCTGGACGACAGCTCGCCAAAGGAAGACCCCTGGGACTCCGTGTCCGTCATTTTGTGTCCAGAGAAGGAGTAGGCGATGCTCTTCAAAGCACTTGGAACCAAAGCACTGGCCTGTCTCCAGCCTGCGGGGCAGGACTTGGAGCGGCGACGCCGCTGTCCCGTCCGGACTTCGGAGCGGCTCCGTGTTCCCACTGCGGACAGGGCCGCCGTGCCTGGGGAGAGGCGGGCTTCGTGGGGGAGACAAGCTTCTTTCTTTACGAACTTTCTAATTACATGATTTCAAGAATGATCCTACAGACTTATCCCTGAAAAAGGATGGTTTTTCTTAAACACTAAAAGGGCATATAATTACCTGTTAGCAGAAGGCTCCAGCACACCTGGTTGTGTTCATCCAGGGTCCCCTCTGTGACTCTGACAAGGGAGCCGAGGCCCCTTGGGCAGGCCACGTGGCCTGTCCCTGCCTGTCCCCACCAGGGACACTGAGCAACCCTTCACATTCAGTCTCCCTGCCAAAAACGTGATTAATGCTGTAAATATTTTCCTAGTAACTTAACAGGTTTTTTTTCAGACTGGAAATAAAAGACTAACTTTTTAAAAAGGGTATCTGAGGTTTTTCTTCTCCACTTTGTCTTCTTATTTTGGCTTATATTCTGCAAAGTTTCGTGTTTTTAAAATTAATATATTTAAACTTTTGTTTTCTTAAATAACATTCCATAGAGCTACTGAGGCCTTGTGGTCACTCAGCAAGAGCTTCCTACATGGGTTGCTTGATTCCTTGAAGAAGTGTAAAGGGGCCCTGGCCAGTTTGGCTCAGTGGTTGGAGCACAGACCACAGTCGCAGGTTCGATTCCAGCCAAGGGCAATACCTCCAACTGCAGTTCGTCCCCGGCCCCTGTCAGGATCATGTGGGAGGTGGCCAATGGATGTCTCTCTCCCACGTCATGTTTCTCTCCCTTCCTCCCTCCCTCCCATTCTATCTGAAGATAAATGGAGAAATATCCTCAGGTAAGGATTAGAAAAAGAAAGAAAGAAAAGGTGTAACGGGGATTTTCAGAAGCTGCACCAGCGCTTCGTTCCATGTGGGGTCACGGGGGTGGACCAAGGCAGGGGCTTGTAGGCAGTAAAGAGAATCAGCTGGTGACAGCAGGGATCCCAGCCAGGCAGCAGTCCTCTGACTGGGAGGACTGATGGGCTCTTTTGTATCAAGGACATGGGTTCAAACTCAATGTATATGACTCTTCACAGTTAGGAAACGGATGTGTACCTTCACCCACCCCGTACAGCGTGCACGAACACACCGACACACAGCACACACAAACAACACAGCACACATAAACACAACACACATAGCACACACGACACATACAGCACACACAAAGAGCACATACAACACAGCACACACAAACACAGCACACTATACATACAGCACACACAAACAGCACATACAGCACACAACACAGCACACACAAACAACACATAGCACACACAACACATACAGCACACACAAACAGCACATACAGCACACAGCACACACAACACATACAGCACACAACACAGCACACAGCATGCACACGCAGTGCGCACACGGCACACACACGGCACACATGCACACACATGCACAGCACACGGCGCGCAAACGGACACACACGCAAAGTTGCTGTAAAGTCTGCTTTCAAAAGAAGCCCCTACTGGCAGCCTAACCTTGACTGGGAAGAGACAGGGGCGGGAAGCTTCCGGCACCACCAGAGGTCTATGCTGCTGCCGCCCAGTTGGCCCCTGGGGCAACTTTCTGGCCGAGCGCTGCCTGCGCACCCTGCCTGCCACCCTGCCGTCCGGGTGACAAGAGCTCAAAGGACCCCACCCACTGCCTGCACCCCGAAGCCCTCTTGTGAGTCATCCGCTTTATCTGTTGGGTGCGCCTTGAGTTGGGGCAGGGTTAGAGGAAGTCAGCAGGCGGAAATTGTAAGCACCTGCCTGGGATGGGCACGCCAAGGCAGGGGAGCGCCCCCTGGGCTGCGGATGAAGCCTGTGGGGAGAGGACACGTAGGCAGCAGGAAGACCAGGTTCTGAGTTCGAGCCCGGCTGAAGGGGACAGAGCGATTCTGTCAGAAAGTTAGAAGTTATGCTTCGGTCAGCTCATGGCGCCACCCTGAGTAAACGGGGGTGCAGCTAGTTAGGGGCAGGCGGGCTGGCTCTGAGGACCTGGTTCTGATAAGGCTGACCTGGGTACGGGATGGAACCGAGCTAGTGTCCTGGGCCAGCGGGTCGCTGTGGTTCAGCCCAGAAAGGCCCTTAGTCAAAGGCAGCAGCTTAAGTTGGGGACAGACTCAGAGCCCAAGCCCAGGACCAGCACTCAGTCCAGGGACCTCTCCAGGGCCAGACTCACAAGGTGTCAGCCTTGCAGGGGAGGGCAGACACCCACCCCACACTGGGGTCCCCGAGCCTGCAGTGTGCTGCCCGCTGCAGACCACCCCAAGCCCGTGACTCGCCATCCCAAGAAGGTGTGGGCTGGCCTGTTAAACAGCAGGGGAGAGGACAAGAGCTTTTGAGTTCTTCTTCTTTTTTTTTTTTTATCCTCACCCGAGGATATTTTTCCATTTTTTTGTACAGATAGAGTGGGAGGGAGAGAGAGGAAGGGAGAGAGAGAGAGAAACATCGACGTGAAGGGACACATCGAGTGGCTGCCACCCGCACGACCAACCAGGGCCGGGGACCAACTGCAACCGAGGTACGCGCCCTTAGCGGGAACCGAACCCGGGTCTCTCCGGACCGCAGGTCGACGCTCTAACCACTGAGCCAAACTGGCCAGGTCGAGTTCTTCTTCTTTAGAGTATTTTCCAAAAACACTATAAAACAAATTCCTAATCCGTGGGATTGATACTTGTACTAATTTGGGACTTCATTTTAGTCAGGCTAAGTACAAAATCATCATATGTTTGAGTTGAAAATGATAAAGATTTGGACTTTAGCCTTGGCTGGTTTCACTCAGCAGTTAGAACATCGGCCCAAGGACCAAAGAGTCGCAGGTTTGATTCCAGTCAAGGGCACGTGACTCGGTTGCGGTTCAGTCCCCAGCCCTGGTCAGGGTCGTGCAGGAGGCAGCCAGTGTGTCTCTCTCAAGTTGATGTTTCTCTCTCTCCCACTCTATCCAAAGGTAGATGGAAAAGTATCCTCGGGTGAGGATTAAAAAAAAAAAAAAAAAGGACTGGGACTTTATAAATAAACATAGTCCTAACCAGCTGCTGTGGCTCTGTGGTTGCGCAGCAACTGTGCACTGAAAGGTCACCGCCGGTTCGATTCCCGGTCAGGACACAGGCCCAGGTTGTGGGCCGGATCCCCCGTGGGGGGCCTGCAGGAGGCAGCTGATCAATGTTCTCTCTCATTGATGTTTCCATCTCTCTCTCCCTCTTTCTCTCTCTCTTCCTCTCACTTCCTTTCTCTCTAAAATGAATAAAGAAAAAAAAAATTTTTATGAACAGTCCAGAGCATCTGTGGGAGGAGCCAGAGCTTTGGGAGGCGCGCTCTCACTGTTGGGGAGACGCCGACAGTAGCACTCCATGGTCCTCACTGCCTCCCCTAGCTCCCTTCTTCCTGTCTGTGTACCTCGCCTCCTGCCTGCAGCTGCGTGAGCGCCGCTGTGTCTGCAGGCCGGACTGCAACCTTTTATCCCCCAAACGCATCCTCCTGGCCAGGAAAGCCCTGGCCAGTACTGCCCTCCAGCCCGCAGAACCTTAGTCATCGGCGATGGAGCACGCCAGGCGTCCAGTCCAGCCTGCTCGGTTTTGATAGGGCCTCTAAGCTAGTAACCGTTTTTACATCTTTAAATGGTGGGGGGTGGGAATCGAAAGTATATGGACCTTACGTGCCAGTGTCCGTGAGTAAACGTGGGTTGGAAGCCAGCGGCTTATTCGTGTCTGTGTCGTCTGTGGCCGCTGTCCCGCGGGGGACAGAGCAGAGTAGTTGGGACATCGTGTGCCTACGAAGCCTAAAATATTTGCTACAAGAGAAACTTTGCTGAACCCCGAAGTGCTCCTTGTTGTAGGAGAAACACCCACTCCCCTCCTGAAGGTCAAGACCCCCGTGACTCTGTGCTGAGCTAACTTGGGGGTCTGAGGTTGCAGGGGAGGAGGGGTATCTGATCCTCGCCTGTGTCCTGTGAACACATGGGAACACAGGAAATGGAGGAAGCAGGCCTTGCACCAGGACGAGGGCCCCGGAGATGACGGGCTAGTGCATCAAGGCCCCTGCCAGGCCATAGGAGCCTTTTGGGAATTAGATAAAAGCGCCCCTTTCCCGACACTGATCTCTAGTGCCCCGGATTTCCTTCAGCACCCGTGCAGACCTCTGCCTGCGCTGTGCACAGCGCCCCCTGGCGGGACCGCGGAGCCCTGGGCCAGGTCGCTGCAGGTGGATCTGGTGACCCCGGAAGGTGCTGAGGCCCGGGGAGCTGACGCCCCCTGCAGGGGAGGGGTGGAGCGGGCAGCAGCTGGGGAGCTGGAGGCGGGGGAGGGGCACAGAGAGGAGACTTTTCTCTGTGTCTGACAGATAACTGGAGAAACCACTGCCGCCTCCCCACCCAGCAACTCCTAGAGGTGCTGGGGCAGCGGCCCCTTTGGTGACTCCATTTCACGGACAACTACTTGCCTCTGTCCAGTGTTTAAGTCGTCTGCATGGGCGCTGTACTGAGGGCATAACAAAGTCGCTTTCCTGGTACCCCTGCCCCCGATGCACAACCTGAATGCAATCAGGGGGGAACATCAGACAAACCCCAATGAGGAGCATTCTATAAAACAGCCGGTCTGTGTTCCTCAAAAATACCCGGTCATGAAAGACAAAGGCTGGAAAACTGTCCCAACATTATCAGCCACTGAAGGGAGGCAGTGGCTAAGCACACGGTGTGGTCATGGACTGCATTCGGGACCAGAAAAGACCTGTCACCCAAGGATATTTTTCCATTGATTTTTTGCAGATAGAGGGGAAAGGAGGGAGGGAGGGAGGGAGAGAGAAAGAGACATTGATGAGAGAGACACACATTGATTGGTTGCCTCCTGCATGACCTCGACCTGGGCTGGGGGGTCAAACCCGAAACCGAGGTATGTGCCCTTGACTGGAAATCAAACCCGAGACTCTTCGGTTCCAGGGCTGACACTCCCGCTAAGCCAAACCAGCCAGGGTAGAAAAGACCTATTTTTATTTTCTATAAAGCACATGCGTATGGCAATTGGCAAAAATCGAATGAAGTGCTTGGCACTGTGCTGGTGTCAACTTGCTTTTGGGATCTGACTTGTGGAAATAAACAGACGTATTCAAGGGTCGAGAGACATCACCTCTGAGCAGACTGTCACACATCTCAGGAAAAATCGACTATAGCTAGTGCAAAACGGTAACATTTGGGGAATCTCGAGGTTATGTGGGATTCTCTGAACTACCTTTGTTTTTTCCTTTTCTTTACTGATTTTAGAGAGAGGAAGGGAGAGGGAGAGAGAGAAACATAGATGAGAGAGAACATCGATTGGCCGCCTCCTGCGTGCTCCCCACTGGGGATCAGGCCCACAACCTGGGCATGTGTCCTGACTGGGAATCAAACCGGTGACCTCCTGGTGCAGGGTCGACGCTCAACCACTGAGCCACACCGGCCGGGCTGAACTACCTTTGTAACCTTCCTGCGAGTCTGGAGTTATTTCGAAGAAAAGAGTTCATCTCTAAATTCACAGCTTCCATCACAGGAGGGAAGACACATCATCGGGAACTGTGTTCGGCACGTGGTTAGAGCGGGGAGCGGGCCCTCGTTCCATCTGAGAGCCCTCTGGTCCTCCCTAGGCCTCGGGGGAAGGCTGAGATGCCTGGGTCAGAGATGGGTGCTCTCACGCAGGTCTGGGGGGCCTGCCCTGCCACACCCGCTCGTGGGGATGTAAGAGCCCCTCTGCCACAGCTGAGACAGCGACAGGCCTGCACTGCTGTCTGCACCCCTGTGTCCCCTGTGATTTAAGCCGTGTTAAAGCTGCTGCGAGACAGGAAGCCTGGAAGGGCCCAAACGGCAACAAAAAACAACCCTCCCTTTTTTAAGGAGGCGCCTCAACTGTGACAAAAGGCAAACACCATCCCCCAGGAAAGCCACAGCCCTCCAGCCACCAGTGGAAAGGAGGCTCCATCCGCGGGTCACAGGCCGTTCGTTCGAAGGGCACAAACAGGCGAACAGCCCCAGGTCCCGCGGCTAGTGAGGGCAGTGCCAAATTTAGGGAAGAGCAAACCACCTAAACATAAGTGCAGCGCCCCAAGAATCCCAGCTCCGAAAGCAGGGACGTCGGTACCGACCCCCTGCCCGCCGCCCTCGCCCCGCTCCTTCCCGTCGGCTGGCCCTGGCCTTCCCCAAGGCCGGCAGCGCCCAAGCGCCCTTCCGCTGGCTCCCGCGTTCTGCCTGTTCTTGCGAAGCCCTCTCAGTGTTCCTTCCGGGGTCAATCCCCAAGTCTCAAGCATGGAAAACACTGTATCACTGAGACCTCCCTCCTCAGAGCAGATGACGCACTTTATAGGAAGCTCCGCAAAAGACTTCTTTATAGCATAAAGTTTTAACCTCATTCGGCGCGGGGTTCCCAGCTCCTTGACCAGGGGAACGCGGGGCTGGAGCGCCCGGGAAATCTGGCCGAGGCAGAGCAGGCTGCCCATCGGGGAGAAGGGGCCTAAGCCACCACCCCCGCCAGGGGCAAGGTCCTCGCCTCCAAACTGTGAGAAGAGGATGGGACCCACGATACCTGGGGCCTAGAGAGTTCTCGGTGAGCGTCAGCTATCAGTCGAGCTGGAAAAGGACGTTATGAGATGGGACCCGAACGGGAAGAACTGGCCGGTAACTCCCACAGCCTGGGGTAGCGGAGGTCCCCCGCGGTGCCTGGGCCTGGACTCTCTGCGGCTCAGTGCCCACCCTCTCAGTCGAAGGTGGTCCAGCAAAGCCGGTAGGTTCCCTGCGGCAGAGGCAAACCTCACAGGTCAGCACCATGTCATCAGTGTGATGGGCCCATTTTTCAGGAGTCGGGAAGAAAACAGTGGCAAGTCCCGAGCCACCATCCCATGACATAGGAGTGGGGCCAGTAACCTTGTGGAGCCCGAGAAAGGGCTACTGTTGTCCCTCTCAGGTGAAGGCACAGGACCTGGGGACTTGACAGCATACTAAAGCCAGGTCCAGTGCGGCGGGTGGGTGCCCAGGGCCGTAGCCAAGGGATCCGAAGCGGCTGAGGCCCAGCTGCATGGATAGGAGGCACCATCCTCCTTAGCTCTAGGCTTTCTCACAGGGCACACTGGACTGCTCGAGGCTGTGGGTGCAGGGCACGCAGCACCCACACGATGGCGCTCCTGCACCATCCCCCCTTTCCTTGTCCTGGTAACTGACACCCATCTCCAAGGGGGAGGTGAATGAACCAGCTCCCAGCTGGCATTGCCTCTCAGTCCCGGCTTACTGGAGCCTGAGGGTGGAGTTCTCCAACAGAGGTTTGGAGTTTATAAGCTGCTGATGCCCGAGTGTTCTCCGGGACCAGGGGGATGCAGACCTCGTTCTCAGGGCGGAGGGGGGACAATTTTCAAACCATTAGTCTGGCCTCCAGACCGTCTGCAGCACCGAGGGAACCGGAAAACATTTAGGATGACATCTTAGGGCACACTCGGCACCTTGTCCACCAAAGCAGCTATCTATGTCTGAGGGACCAACGGGTGGTGAGCTCCACAGGCCTCGGGTCCCCAGGGCCCTCACCTGAGGACAGCCGTGGCCTTCATCCTGTCCCTGGGGGTGGGAGGCACCCAGAGGCGGGTGACATCCCAGAGGCTTCTCCTGCTCTGGGGAATGTTGGCTGAGGAGGCTGATGCTGTCGTGAAACTGCCGCTGGCTTGACAGCCTCCCAGGACCCCACAGCCTCCCCGAACTCCCTGGGGCCGCCGATGGCCTCCCGTGACCCCGGAACCCCCAGGGCTGCGTCAGGCCGGATCGGTCTCTTCTCTCAGGGTGCCTGTAGCAACCAGATCATGCCACCTTGGCTTTCGGGTGCTCTTCACGGGCTTTCTTTCCGTTGCGTTGACCCCCCTCCTTCCCTCTGTGGGGCTCCAGGCCTCTCCTCTGGCCCAGAGGCCTCTGGGGACCGGCTGGTCTCCCTCAGACCCGCGATGGATGGCCCGCCCGCAGGATGACCTGCCCGCACCAGGGCTTGGATGGAAATAAGCAGCCCCCACCATGCTCCAGTCACAGACTCTGCTCTCATCCCTGCCGGGAACTGAGCCGGGTCAGGTTCTCCCAGCACTGGGGCTCGGGCGGCTGGGCGCAGCGCTGGCTTCTGCCTGGGGCGGGCCCTTCCCTCCCTGCCGCTGCCTTATGTGCAGGTGTCAAACAGTGCAGGGGGCCCGCCTGCGTTTTGGGGGGTCCCCATACTTACAGGACAGCCCACTCACATCTAAGGTGAGGACCACCACTCCCCACAAGGGAGGTGGACAGCCCGGGTCTCCCATGGATGCCTCTGGCAGGGCCACTTCAGTCTCCCGGCTGGCTCGCCACCGTAGGAACCGAGACCCAGGGGAAAGCCCGGAGTCTGAATCTACCTCTGAAAGCAGCGTGCAAGACAAGACCGAAGGAAGAGGTGCCACTGCAGTCTGGTGAGTAAGGGAAACTTACATGTGAGGCATGTCTCAGCTGCAGGACAAAATGGACCCCATGCAGCTTGGCAGGTGCCAGTGAATTAGAGTCTGCAGGGGGCACTCACGGCCCTCGTTCATGAGCCCTACCAGGGATGTGGGAGATTCCTCCGCGGGCGTCACCGGGCAGGACAAGCCTGCTCCAGGAAGCACACAACGCAGGAGGCAGGGGAGGTGCTGACTGTCAGAATCAACATCGATTTCAGACAGACAGTCTCCAAGGGGGTAGCTGCAAGCAGTCCCATCTGGCTCGGTCCAGCTCGAGGGACAGGCAGTGGTCAGGTCGTGAACAGTGGTCAGGTCGTGAACAGTCTCCTCCACAGTCCATGTTTCATAAAGATAAAGTGCTTCTTGCCTGGCTGGTGTGGCTCAGTGGACTGAGCGTCAACCCAGGGACTGAGGTCCTGGCCACATGCCCGGGTTCCGGGCTCCATCCCCAGTGGGGGGTGTGCAGGAGGCAGCCCATCCATGTTTCTCTTTTATGAATGTTTCTCTCTCTCTCTCTCCCCCTCTCTCTCTAAAAGGTCAATAAATAAAAAATAAAAAAATAAAAAAAGCCCTGGCCGGTTTGGCTCAGCGGTTGGAGCGTCGGCCTGCGGTACAGAGAGACCCGGGTTCAGTTCCCGCTGGGGGCACGTACCTCGGTTGCAGTTTGTCCCCGGCCCTGGTTGGTCGTGCGGGTGGCAGCCACTCGATGTGTCCCTTCACGTCGATGTTTCTCTCTGTCTCTCTTCCTCTCTCTCCCTCCCACTCTATCTGAACAAAAAATGAAAAAATGTCCTCGGGTGAGGATAAAAAATAAATAAATAAATAAAATAATAAAAGGTCAATAAAAATGTATTAAAAAAAAGACAAAGTGCTTCTTTGATTGGGTCCACTTGAATAACTGAAAAATGACCGGCAAACCAATTTTTTGGTTCGTTTTCTCCAACAGATTTAACAGTATTAGAATGTGTGAGCAGTAGCTGTTTATTGCAACAGGTTACAGAGAATGGAAACAATGGCTCGGCTTAGTGCGCGGGGAGGCGCGTTCCGACATCCTGAGGGGCAACAGCGAGCAAGCACTTGGGCCGGTCCAGGCCGAGGCCGCCGCCGCTCCCGCTGCACGGCGCCCTCGCACCCTGGGGCGGGCGGAAGGAAGGCGAACCCCGGGAGGCCGCAGGCGGAGCTGCCCAGGCGGGTACCACGCTACTCTGCTGCGTCCAGCGGCAGGCTCTGCAGTCCCTGGGGAAACGTGCGCAAACCCTGCGGGACGGGAAAGCAACGCCCCGTGCCCGCCGCATCCCCACGGGGACGCCCGGAGCAACGGCGCTTGGAGCGGGAGGGAAGGTTCAGACGGCAGCTCCGCCTCGCAGAGGTTTGCGGGAAGCTGGGGCAGAAGCTGGGGCAGAGGCTGGCAGGTACCGACGGGGGCGCCTACTGTTCGCTGGGCCCAGCGATTCCCTGCGGGAGGAGCGCTCATCTCCACACCAGCTGTTCGCTTTCTGCCGCAGGCGCAGGCTTTGGAAGAGCAGTGGTCTGCGACTCCCTGACGCGGAATTGTGTGATGTAGGTAATGCAGGCTGTCGAGAACCCAGCAGGTGGACCGTCTAAGGTGCTTGTGTAAGAAGCACGCTGCTGGCTGCCTTGGTCTTTTCCGGGTGACACAGACTGGGCCGTCCCTCCTCGAACAGAGGCGATATTAAAGGAATCATTGTTGGAAAGGCTTTCAAACTAGTCCTTCAGCATTTAAAAAATCTTCATATAAAAGTCCACTTCTTGATCACATAAGAACAAACATGTTTCCTTTTTAAAATCTCATTTTTAAGACAAAGTAAATTACAACGTGCTGCAACGCCCTTCTTCATGGCTCATCGCTTATCTCAGCTACTCCGAGCTGTTTGCTTGTGCGTCTTCAGAACTGATACTGGAACCAAGCAGCTGACTCTAAAATGACAAGATGATACGACCCTGGCTCAGGAGACAGACCGAGCCTCGCCAGGAACAAGCGACTGGCACTCAGAATCCATCTGTAGAGTCTTATATACACATTAACAACCCAGTCATTGAAAAAGAAAACTCAAAACTGCTTCAAAACTCGGAACACAAAAGTGTAAAGAGACATTTAATGTACAGTCTATTCCATTTGGCAATGTGTAAACTATATTAAAAGACAGAAACTTATCTGCAGACAGAGTACAACAAAGGAAAATGGGATTTAAGACGTGATCTCAGGTCCACAGCTCTTCAGTTCTTCCAAATTTGTAGATCAGAGTGCTATAAAGATATTAAAATAAATCGTGAGGAAAAAACACGTGGAACAAGCAACAGAAAACTCACTTCCTAAACCTGCTTCGACAGACACTCACTTTGCCTTTGCATCAGCTCCCAAAGCAAAGACGGGGTCTCCCTTGCTTTGTCCAGCAGCCGGCTGGCCTTGGGGCTGAGCGTGATTAAACACCTTCCTCACAGCCTGGCGGGCTATCGGACAGGAGGTGTAAGGAGGGGCCAGTTCTCCCAGCGCAGCCCAGAGCGACAGACGCACCGTGAAGCGACCACGCTGCAGTCTGTCCCTTCGCCACGTGGTGGGCACTGGCTAAGCGCTAGGGACGCGCTGAGTCAAGACGAGACACGAGTGCTCACTGTGGCGCGAAGAGCCTGCGGGGGGGACCATCACCCCAGCGACAGAGAAACAAGGCTGTGGCGGCGAGGTCCCTGGCACGAGAGCGCCGACAGGTCTGGCCTGGGGGGGACAAGGCTTTCCCGGGCAAGCGCTGGCTGACCTGAGCTCTCCAGCGAGAGCAGGCAAAGAGGGGGAGGAGCAGACGGGGCCCTGGGACCAGGAGGTGGCTAAGGATTTGAAGTGTCAGCCACCAGGAGGGGACAGCAGGGGTCTGGACGGGTAGAGTAGGCGTCTGTGCCCTGCCAGCAGGCGGGCAGAAGGAGCTCCTCCGGAGAGAACCAAGGCGAGGACAGAGGCGCATGCCCAGCACGGAGCCAGGGTGGAGGACGGGCTGGCAGAAGCAGAGTGGCCGGAAGAGCCGCACCCCGTGCACAGAGGACACACCGCCAGGCCAGGTTCCCCACCGCCTCTGGGCCGAGCACAGCCACGCAGCACACACTGTCCACGTGAGCGCAGGGTCTGCGTATCCCCGTCATGGACGGGGCTCTCCTACTACTGCAAAGGGCTGAAGGCGGATGTAGGTTTTCTCTCTAAACGGTGCCTAAGATGACTCCATGGAAACAAGGCTGTTGGTCACACGTCAAGAAATATAATCACAAGATAGCAGAAGCTGTCAAATGCCTTTCAAAACCACACGTGTCCGGGCCACAGTGTGGTACCAGGGACCAGGGCAGAGCCCAGCTGAGGAAACGGAGCTGAGAGCCCAGGGAGGCAGGAGTGGCTGCTGCCAGGGCAGAGGGCAGACGGCCCCGCGGAGAGGTGTCCGGGAGACGGGCAGGGGTTCCCCGGTGTCAGCTGAGTGTCCACCAGTAGACGCAGGTGAAGAAAACAGCCCAGGACAGGGAAAGACCCCACAGAACGGTTCCGAGCCCCCGGGCTGCGAGGCTCCATAATCTCGGGCTCGGGTGAGAAAGCTCGGAGCGCGCGGAGCACCAGGAAGGGTCCCCGGAGTCTGCTGCCTCAGCAGGGGACAGACTGGGCGCGGACTCCTGCTCCGGTCCTACCTGACAAGGCCGAAGAGCAAAACCCAAAAGGATCAACCTGCCCCGTGACCTCGCTGCATCAAGAACAAAGCTCAAACATGTTTAAAGAAACCAAAAAGCACAGCCGCCAACAACACAAACAAAGAAAAGGAAGCGAACAGGGGAAGAGACCCGAGATGAAGGGAACGCAGAAATAACTGACAGGAACGGGCTCAGAACTGACACAGCTCCACGAGGACACGGCAGTAGTTATGAGCAGACTTCGCGCGTTCAGGCAGCGGAGAACGAGCACGGCAAGGGGAGGCGTGGGAATGGGTGAGACACGCGTCGCCCGGGCAGAGGTGAGGGCGCCGGGCGGGAGACTGGACCGCGCGAGGAGTGAGGAGTGAGCGTGGAGACCGCGATGGGGAGGGTCCCGGCCCAAACGAGCGCCCACCAGCACTGCGGGCCGGGGGGGCTTCGGACAGCTAAACACACATGTGCTGGACGCCTGCGGGGGCGGGGGGGCAGAAAAAGTATCCGAACGAATAATGGCTGATGAAAGCTGTTGGCCCACAGACCTGTGAAACCCAATGAACCGCAAGCAGGAGAAATACGGGGAAAACTATCAGTGTCATCAAATTCTTAAAAACAGAGTTCTTCAAAACTTAGATCTTAAAAAAAAAGACTTAAATCTTAATGATTTTGGGGGGAGATGTAATTTCATAAGTGAATGCTGTATTTAAAAAGCACTTTCCCTCAAATGAGCTGCATACTATACCTGTGTGTGAACTGAAATAACACATTCTAGGTGTATTTGGTGAGCAGTATTATTTAAACATTAGTCTTTACACTAAGAGACATTCATTCTGAAAAGTATAGGATATGGACTTCATTGGGGGGGGGGGGCTTTTTAGAAAATAGTCCCTAAAATATACTTTTAGTATTCTTTTGTTTTAATACTTTAAGTTATCTTAAAAACCAGGTTTTGTATATAATATACTTAGTATGTAGTAATTCTCTTTTCTTTCTTTTTAAAATAAAGACACCTGATACTTGTTTGTTTTAACAAAACAGAGGTTATGGAAGCAGCAGCCTGGGTTCAAACACCAGCCCCACATTTCCTAGCGGGTGACCCTAAGTCAACTCTGGGCCTTCTGTCCTCACCTAGTACATGCAACCACCACCTGCTTTATCCAGTAAGATAATGAAATGGGAATAAAAATGCTCACACACGCCCTGGCCAGCGGACCGGAGAGGCCCGGGTTTGGTTCCCACTAAGAGAACGCACCTCGGTTGCAGTTTGTCCCGCCCCGGTTGAGGTTGTGTTGGTGGCAACCAGTCGATGTGTCTCTCTTGAATTGATGTTTCTCTCTCTCTCTTCCTCCCTCTCTCTCTCACACTCGATCTGAAGATAAATGCAAAAATGTCCTCGGGTGAGGATAAAAAAAGCTCAGCAGCCAGCTGAGGTCTTGGCACACAGCAGTGCCCTAACTAGATGGCCCGTGTACGCCCTTCTACAACAGTCAAAGAAGTTGTGTACACTGTAACTAAGGGATTTATATGGTTCCATTGTACATGCTGCTCTTACAACAAAGATGACATTTCTGCAAATGTTCTAAGTATGGTTAAGAAATTTAGCAACTTACCTTAAAAATATAAGTGCATTTTGAAAAAACACAGCTAGCCCTGGATAAACATCAGCATCTGCACACACAAAGTACACAGGAGATCAGCAAAGCAACGGCAGGGACAGCGTGCGCGCCACGCACACGGCCAGCTCGGCCTGTCACACGCTGCCCGTCCTCCTCCACTCTAGCAGGTCGACAACGAGGGCCAAACAAGAAGATGCTAATCTCATTCGCCCAGAACAAAGGACTGCCCTCCCTCTGGATAGAGGCAATGAGCGCATCAGGTTTCCTCTGTCCGAAGTGGCTGCTAGGGTCCAGCTCCGTCGCCCCTCTATTCCTCCGGCCAACACAGGAACCCAAAGCGTGAGAGACACAGACGGGTTCCCTACTGGTCTGTTCTCCGTTTTCCTTCGGAACCCTGGAGTTCTGTGCAGATCGGGCAGGTGGAAGAGGGGTCACTGCCCCCCCGGGGACAGTTTCCAGGTGCCCCACGGGGAGGGAAAGGGAACCGGAACTGCTCCCGCTCCCGCGGCTGTGGAACTGCAGGCGTCGACCAGCAGCGCTGACCCGCTGTCAGACGGCACCCGGCGCGGCCAAGGGCTCCACGCTTCAGCCAGACCCCTGGGGCCCTAATTCTGCCACTGACTAAATGCGTGACCACGAACAAATGATGTAACCTAGTGGTGACACGGGCGGCGTGCCGGCGCGGCCCGGAGCTGAGAAGGTGGGGCAGTGCAGAGCGCTCCGAGCAGCAGCGCCACGAAGGGCCACGCAGACGGCAGCTCGGCGACAACTAGCAGAGTCTGGGACAATCTGCGCAGCAAGAGACTTAAAATGTGTTAAATGGCCCTGGCCGGATTGGCTCAGCGGTTAAAGTGTCGGCCTGTGGTCCTGAGAGACCCAGGTTCGGTTCCTGCTAAGGGGCGCGTGCCTCGGTTGCAGTTTGTCCCCGGCTCTGGTCGGTCGTGCGGGTGGCAGCCACTCGATGTGTCCCTTTCACGTCGATGTTTCTCTCTCTCTCTCTCTCTGTTCCTCTCTCTCCCTCCCACTCTACCTGAACAAAAAAAAATGGAAAGGTGTCCTCGGGTGAGGATTAAAAAAAAAAAAAAAAAAATGTGTTAAATGCTCTCTGAAGTAAAAGCATATTTCGTTCACAAAGAGAAAACATATTCAATGGGCAATGCTGGGGAAACACAAAGGTGAGGCCACAGTCAAGAAATTGCTGGATACGAACAAGCTCTTTACAGACTAAGATACAGCCAGGGATCCGGCTGGTGGGGCCCAGTGGACTGATGGTTGGTGGGGCCCAGTGGACTGAAGGCCGGGGTGGCCCAGTGGACTGATGGCCGGGGCGGCCCAGTGGACTGATGGCCGGGGCGGCTCGGTGGACTGATGGCCGGGGCGGCCCGGTGGACTGATGGCCAGGGTGGCCCGGTGGACTGAAGGCCGGGGTGGCCCAGTGGACTGAAGGCCGGGGTGGCCCAGTGGACTGATGGCCGGTGGGGCCCGGTGGACTGAGTGTCATCCCAGGGACTGAGAGTTCCAGTTCCACTCTGGGTCAGGGCACATGCCTGAGACTGTGGGCTCATTCCCATGCACAGGAGGCAGCCAATCAATGTATCTCTCACACTGATATTCTATTTCTTTCTCTCTAAAAAAATCGATTAAAGCCCTGGCTGGTTTGGCTCAGCGGTTCAAGCGTCGGCCTGCGGTCCGGAGAGACCCGGGTTCGGTTCCCGCTAAGGGCACGTACCTCGGTTGCAGTTTGTCCCCGGCCCTGGTTGGTCGTGTGGGTGGCAGCCACTCGATGCGTCCCTTTCACATCGATGTTTCTCTCTCTATCTCTTCCTCTCTCTCCCTCCCACTCTATCTGTACAAAAAAAATGGAAAAATGTCCTCGGGTGAGGATAAAAAAAATAAAAATAAAAAATAAAATAAAAAAATCGATTAAAACTATTTTTAAAAAACAACAAAAAGATACAACCAGCGAGTGCACAACCTTTACAAACGGAGTGCCTTCCCACACCTTTCAGGAATGGTAACTGATGCCCGTTCCAGAACAGAAACTGGGACGTTTCCCGTGCTGCTCCGGTCACTGTGCGGCTCCCCAGCGAGACGAGCACTGGCGGCCGCCCGTCCTGGACGACCCGGTCCTGGGAAGCGGACCGGAAGCACACGGCTGGCCGCCTGGGGCTGGTGGAGGAGGGTGATGGGAGGGACTCCGAGCGGGCAGGGTTTCTCTGTGGGGTCACAAAGCTCTGAAACTGAGCTGTGCTGATGGTCACACACTCTGGGCTTCAGAAACATGGAAGTATACACTTTAATCACACAGCATGCGCTTCACCTCGATAAGGCTGCTTTAAAAATGCACTCGCCTTCAAGTGAGCTGCACCCTAGAACTGTGTTCCACAGTGTTTCGCATTAACCAAAATGACACATTTCAGATATATCCGGTGAGCAGTATTATTTGGACACTGGTCACCACTGTCCTCTCGCACTGATTGACTTTGTGCCAAGTGAAAGACACATGTATTTCAAAGATCTTATTCTGAGAAAAGTATGAGACTTCTGGGATCCTTCAGGATATTAAGAGGTCAGCCGAGGGTCAGGACAGGAGCTGTGACAGTCAAGCAGAGGGACAGTGACATTTCAGAGGTCGAGGGTCAGAGATGAACAAGCTGCCACCTGCCTTTGGAGTGAAAGGAGAGGCGGTGAAAACAGGTCCCTCCGGAGCCTCCGGAGCCACGTGCAGATACCCACCCTGGGTGACAGGCTCTGGTGCCTGGCGCAGCTGCGGAGCTCAGGTGATGGCTGGGCCGAGAGCTCGCTCTGCTGCACCAGCAGTTTCTGCATGAAGACTACACGCGGCCTCAAAACCTCCCCTGTGCCTGGCCGGTGAGGGTCAGTGGTTAGAGCCCCACGCACCAGAGTCATGGGTTTGATTCCCGAGCAAGGGCACGTACCTGGGTTGCAAGTTTGTCCCTGGCCCTGGTCGGGGCGTGTGCAGGAGGCAACCAATCAATGTACCTCTCTCACATCAGTGTTTCTCTCTCTCCCTCCCTTCCTTCCACTCTCTAAAACTCAATGGAAAAAATATCCTCAGGTGAAGATTAACAAAAACAACAACAAAACAACCTCCCCCTTGCACCTATGACTGGAAACTTGCAGGCTGGGTTAGGGAGAGGAGGTATTGGTAGAAAGACATCAGGGTCCACAACCCCTTATCTGAGATCCTTGGGACGGGTACGTTTGGGAATTCAGAATTTTTCAGATTTAAGAATGGTACGGCCCTGGCAGGTTTGGCTCAGTGGTTAGAGCATCGGCCTGTGGTCCAGAGAGACCCGGGTTCGGTTCCCGCTAAGGTCACGTACCTCCGTTGCAAATTTGTTCCTGGCCCTGGTTGGGTCGTGCAGGTGGCAACCACTCAATGTGTCCCTTTCACGTCAATGTTTCTCTCTCTCTCTTCCTTTCTCTCCCTCCCACTCTATCTGAACAAAAAATGAAAAAATGTCCTCGGGTGAGAATAAAAAAAAAGAATGGTACGGGAGAAAAGCAGAAACTCTGGAGATGACGTCGAGCGGTCCTGGTGCTGCCGGGCTGTGTCCCAGCCAGGCCCTCCCACTGCGCTCAACGACCCTGCGACGTACGTGCCTTCGCAGACTCACAGCTTCAAGCGGACTGAGTGATTAAACGAAATTTACTCCAAGTGGAGAAACAGACTAAGCCAAACATAAAAGACGTAGCTGAATGTCTCCTATGACATAAAGGAGGAATAAATACTCACTTTGGGTAACATATGCGCCAAAGAGAATCCACATGGAAGCAATGAGCGACCCGAACATCAACATGAAACCGATGAAGAGCCAGACCCGAGCACCTGCATGAAGAACAGGCATCATGACTTTGCTCCTTTCGGCAGCTCTGTGTCTTAGAAAACATCACTAGCAACATGTCAACCTAATACACGTCATGCATACAAAGACGTCTCATGTTTATATACACCTACTGTAACAGTCACCTGAATGGAGAGTCTAAAAAACTAAACGCCAAAGTCACCTTTCTGTTGGCTAGAGAAACGAATAGCTGGATAAATAAACTAAACTAGGCAAGCTGCATAAGTAATCATTTGACTAAGTTGGCTAATTAAACCCCAACTGAAAATTTACCTTTGTATATACTAGCAAAGTAACTGCTCTATTAGAAGTGGCAAATGTCCTTCAGCTAGCCACACCACGAAGGAATGAGACTGCAAACGAGTGAGGACGATGTCCAAGCCACACCGTCACTTGCTCGGTCCAGGGCGGCGCATGGGTGAGCCTACCGAACGGCCACCTTCACTCCCGAAGCCCTCCCAGCACCGGGTGCACCACACAGAAACACGTGTAAGCCACACGGTACATTCAGCTGCGTGCGGACAGCCACAGAATAAAATGGAATGACTTAGTAAGGGTAAAAGTATGAACGCTGGATCCTGAGAGACCCAAAGCAAACACAAGTCCTACGTTAAGCTGAAAAGTTTGGGTACGTTACAATGAAATCTTCTCCAGAAAATAGTGAATAGTAACATAATCCACAGCAGTGTCTGTGGATTAGTGTGTGAAGAAACATAATCAAACAAAGTATCCTGTGCTCTATGCACAACATTTCACTTGCTAATACACACTTTCTTATTCTTTATTCTCCCTTATTGCTGACATTACCTGCTGAGGCTGGGACACAAGACATGCGTGTGACACACACACACACACACACTGCACTTTTAACTTAGGCTTCTCTGCCACTTGTCACCCTCCCCTCAGAAGAACATGTGCGTTCTCGAGATCTGCCATACAACATCGTGCCCAGAGGCAGCAACGCGTACTGGGCACTTAACATTTGTTGAAAGAATAGATCGCATGTGAAATGTTCTTAGCACCAAAAACAATTTTTTTTACCCTCACCTGAGGACATTTTTGCATTCACTTTCAGATAGAGCAGGAGGGAGAGAGAGAGAGAAACATCGACGTGAAAGGGACACATCGAGTGGCTGCCACCCGCACGACCAACCAGGGCCGGGGACAAAATGCAACCGAGGTACATGCCCTTAGCGGAAACCGAACCCGGGTCTCTCTCGGGTCTCTCTGTACTGCAGGCCGACGCTCCAACCGCTGAGCCAAACCGGCCAGGTCTGTTTCCTAATATTCTTGATCATCTTTCAAAATGCCCACCTACTCCAAACTTCCAGCCATCACCACAAATCCCTCTTCCGAGTCCTTAGAAGCTGGAGACAGAACTTCTGGCCCTGTGCCTTCTCCATAAAGCATGGAGATTCCGCTGAAAACAGGCTCCTGGGTTCCAACAGAATGTGTTACAGCCCAAATAAAAGAATCACACAGGCCCTGGTCGGTTTGGCTCAGCAGTTAGAGTGTCGGCCCGTGGACCAAAGATTTGTGGGTTCAATTCCGGTCAAGGGCATGTACCTAGGTTGCGGTTTAGTCCCCAGCCCTGGTCAGGGTGGTGCAGGAAGCAACCAGTCAATGTGTCTCTCTCTCTCCCACTCCACTGATAAATTTTAAAAAATATATCCTCAGGTGAGGATTAAAAAAAAAAAAGAAAGAAACACACTATTGGGTGACAATTCAAAAGGATTCAAACTCCAAAACCACCTTTTCTATGTAGACAAACAGCACATTCTTTGAGACAATGTTGCGGTGCGTGGGTGGCTACTCAAGTACTCAGAGTGGAACATGGAAACACTGTGGTCCTAGATCTGATTTCCCAACCACCACACTCTGCAGTCAGCATCTCGTGGGCAATATTACCGGTCGAAATTTGGGGGCAGAATAATCCATCATTAGTCTGGGAAGAGTAACCTGGAGTCCAACATCCACTGGTTTTGAATAGTAACAGTTTGTTTATAAACTATTGGCAGTATAACATGACAAAAATAGTAACTTCTGGCAGTAACTTGACATTTCTTAAGGATTTAAATAACACTAAAACTTTTTTAAAAGTTACGTTTTACAAATTCCACACGATCATTCCTACATAAAGACTCACTAGAGGCTTTGTTTTTTCTGCTGAGAAATCCCTCTTCCGTCTTTACCTGTTCTTCCTAAACAGCCGCTCTCGTAGCTGTCGCCTCTCACCTGAGCATTGGACACGGCGTTTATCCTAGAACAACACAGAACCGTCTAGTCAGCTTTCATGATGCTGACACATTCAGATAGTACTTATCATTTAGAAGGAAAACATTTCCTAACTAGAGTCGATATCTGAACAACTGAACATGCCTTTTAACTTAATACTGTATACTAGCGGATACAAATGTTGTATTAGTCTCATTTTCCTAAAGTACACTCAGAAAACACTCTTAATTTTAAGAGATTACTATTATTTGTTTCCAGAGATCATGAAAGAGGGTCATTTTTCTGATTTCTCTGCCTAGTTTACATTTATACATGGATGCTCAGTGTGCGTCATCCCATTGTAAGATTCTTATTACAATCGAGAGTTTAAAGGTATCAGTGTGGGAGGGAGGGGGGTCGGTAGAGGTGGAGGGGGATTACAGGGGGGATAAATGGTGACAGAAACAAAAGAAATAAAATACAAAGAGAAGATAAGAGTTTAAAGGTTTCTCTTTGTACTGAGTGGCTACCCTGATGCCTTCTCGCCCTCAGAGAACATGCGGTCTGTGGGCGACCAACAGGCCCATGAGTTGTGATTTGGGTGGAGGATTCTGCAGCAGAAATGGCTTCTTCTTAGCATTCTGAATGAACGTAAGTGCTTCCATCTTCTACAACTTCAACTTTTAAATGTTCCTGACAGTGGAAGAAAACCTTCTAATCTCAATGTTTAACCTATTTCTTAATTATTAAAAGCCACTCACTGGGGTGAAGGGGGCCTAATATATGGTGATGGAAGAATATCTGACTTTGGGTGGTGGGCACACAATGTCATCCACAGACCTTGTATCATAGAAATCTATACTCAAAACCTATATTATCCTATTAATGTCACCCCAATAAATTTAATAATAATTGTTTTAAAAAGACATCCAGCCCTGGCCAGTTTGGCTCAGCAGTTAGCAGTGGTTCTCAACCTTCCTAATGCCGCGACCCTTTAATACAGGTCCTCTTGCTGTGTGTGGGCAGATCTGCACATGGGCGTGTCTGCGTGTGGGCGTGTCTGCGTGTGGGCGGACCCACCTGGAGCCAGGCAGAGGAGCGGTGTCTTGGTTCCTACGACCATGGGAAAGATGTGTTTTCTTTTTTTAAAAGTATTTATTTATTTTTTTTATCCTCACCCGAGGACATTTTTCCATTTTTTGTTCAGGTAGAGTGGGAGGGAGAGGAAGAGAGAGAGAAACATCGACGTGAAAGGGACACATCGAGTGGCTGCCACCCGCACGACCGACCAGAGCCGGGGACAAACTGCAACCGAGGTACGTGCCCTTAGCGGGAACCGAACCCGGGTCTCTCAGGACCGCAGGCTGACGCTCCAACTGCTGGGCCATACCGGCCAGGGTGGGAAAGATGTGTTTTCTGATGGTCTTAGGCGACCCCTATGAAAGGGTCGTTCGACCCCCCAAGAGGCCGTGACCCACAGGGTGAGAACAGCTGGGTTAGAGTGTCGGCCCACAGACCAGAGAGTCTCAGGTTTGGTTCCCGCTAAGGGCACGTACCTGGGTTGCAGTTTGTCCCTGGACCCAATTGGGGTCGTATGGGTGGCAACCACTCGAATGTGTCTCTCTCACGTTGATGCCCCCCACACACACTCTATCTGAAGATAAATGCAAAAATGTCCTTGGGTGAGGATAAAAAAAAAAGACATCCAGCCCTGGCTGGTTTGGCTCAGCAGTTAGAACATCAGCCCTCAGAGCAAAGAGTTGTGGGTTTGATCCTTGGCCCCAGTAGGGATCATGTGGGAGGCAACCAATTGATGTGTCTCCCTCATATCGATGTTTCTCTCCCCCCCCCCCCCATCTAAAAAAAAAAAAACAATGAAAAAATATCCTCTGGTGAGGATTTAAAACAAACAGACCTCCATACCCTGGTCAATGTTGCTCAGTGGTTAGAGTGTCATTCCATGTACCGAAGGGTCTCAGGTTCGATTCCCAGTCAGGGTACCAAATTCTTACCATCAAATGGATGAATTTTTTTTTTCCTTATTGACTTTAGAGAGAAAGGAAGGGAGAGGAAGAGACAGATAGAAACATCAGTGAGAGAAAACATCGACTGGCTGCCTCCTGCATGCCCCCCACTGGGGATTGGGCCCATAACCTGGGCATGTGCCCTGACCGGAATCAAACCAGTGACCTCTTGGTGCAGGGGTTGATGTTCAACCAATGAGCCAGACCAACTGGGCTGAACTATTATTTATAAATCAGGTGTGACAAAGTGACCAGTCTATAGTGGTCCAAACTTTTTTTTTTTCATCCTCACCTGAGGACACGTTTCCATTTATCATCACACAGAGTGGGAGGGGGAGAGAGAGAGAGAGAAACATTGATGTGAGAGAAACATATGGACTGGTTGCCTCCTGCATGACCCAACCAGGGCCGGGACAGAACCGTGACTGAGGTACGTGCCCTTGACCGGAATCAAACCCACAACTCATTGGTCCACAGGTTGACACTCTAACCGCTGAGCAAAACTGACCAGGGTCCAACTTTTTTTTAAAAATTTTTTCAAAACATTTTTTCTTTATTGATTTTAGAGAGAGAGAGGAAGGCAGAGGGAGAGACAGAAACATCAATGAGAGAGAAGAACATCGACTGGCTGCCTCCTGCATGCCCCCCACTGGGGATCAGGTCCACAACCTGGGCATGTGCCCTGACCAGGAATCGAAATGGTGACCTCTTGGTGCAGGGTCGACACTCAACCAGTGAGCCACACTGGCCAGGCCAACTTTTTTAAAAAAACTTATCTTTATTGTTGAATGTACTACAGACGTGCCCCATTTTTCCCCCAATGACCCCAAGATTACTCTATCCTGCAAAGTTATCATTTACTCCCAGCCCCTCCTGCCTTCCCCACACTACTGTCTGTGTCCAGTGGTTGTGCATATAAGCATAGAAGTTCTCTGGTTTATCTCTTCCTGCCCTCCCTCCCTCCTTCCCTTTGAGGTTCCTCAGTATAACAACCAAGTTGTATCTCTTAATCCCTTCACCTTTTCACCCATCCCCCCAAGGCCCCTCCCATCTGCCAAGCAACAAAAAGTTCTCTGTATCTACGATTCTGTTTCTGTTCTGCTTGCTCATCTTGTTTGTAGATTAAATTGTTGATAGATATGTATTAATTGCCATTTTATTGTTCAAATTTTTGCTGTTCTTCTTTAAGAACATTCGTCAACATTTCATATGATACTGGTTTGGTGGTGATGAACTCCTTTAGCCTTTTCTTGTCTGGGAAACTCTTGATATGGCCATGGATTCTAAATGACAGCTCTGCAGGACAGAGTAATCTTGGCTGTAGGTTCTTGCTTTTCATCATTTTGAATATCTCTTGTCACTCCCCCCTCTCCCTCCCATTGTACCTGAAGATAAATGCAAAAATGTCCTCGGGTGAGGATAAAAAAAAAAAATTCTCTGTCTTTAACCTTTTGCATTTTGATGATGGCATGCCTTGGTGTGGGCTTCTTTGGATTCATCTTGTATGGGACTGTCTGTGCTTCCTGGACTTGTAAGTCTATTTTCTTCACCAAGTTAGGGAAATTTTCTGTCACTGATTTTTCAAATAGGTTTTCAATGTCTTGCTCTCTCTCTTTTCCTTCTAAAATTCCCATGATGTGAATGTTGGCACGCTTGAAGTTTTCCCAGAGGCTCCCTATACTATCCTCATTTTTTTGGATTCTTTGTTCTGATTGGGTGTTTTTTGCTTCCTTATATTCCAAATCAATGATTTGCTTCTTGGCTTCACCTACTGTACTATGAATTCCCTGTAAATTATTCTTTATTTCAGTTAGTGCTTTCTTCATTTCTGACTGGTCCTTTTTTATGCTCTTGAGGTCCTCACTAAGTTCCTCGATGTTCTCAGTAAGTTCCTTGAGCATCCTCATACCAGTGTTTTGAACTCTGCATCTGTTAGATGGCTTATCTCCATTTTGTTCATTCTTTTCCTGGAGTTTTATTCTGTTCTTTCATTTGGGACCTGTTTCTTTGTCTCCTCATTATGGCTGCCTCCCTGTGTTTGTTTCTACGTGTTAGGTACAGTTACTATGTCTTCTAGGTTTCCTCGGGTGGCCTACTGTAGTAGGTGTCCTGTAGGGTCCAGTGGCACAGCCTCCCTGGTCACCCCAGCCAGGCCCTCAAGGTGCACCCCGTGTGGAGTGTCCACCCTTCTGTTGTAATTGAGTTTTGTTTTTTTTTATCCTCACCCAAGGACAGTTTTGCATTTATTTTCAGATAGAGCGGGATGTAGAGCGGGAGGAAGAGAGAGACATTGACTGGCTGCCACCCACACAACGCCTTGGGGTCCGAGGACAAACTGCAACTGAGGTAGGTGCCCTTAGTGGGCCGACGCTCTAACCACTGAGAAAAACCAGCCAGGGCTGTAACTGAGTCTTGATTGCAGTTTTGATGTGGCTTCTTTAATTTCACAGTTGTAGGACTTCCATTCAGCTCGATTTCAGGCAGTTTTGAATGATGGTTGTTCTATAGTTTAGTTGTAATTTTGATGTGGTTATCTAGTGGTCAAACTTTCAAGTTAAAGAAAAAACTCTGAAACAACCCAAGTGTCCATCAGTAGATGAGTGGATTAAAAAGCTGTGGTAAAAAAAAAAAAAGCCCTGGCCGGTTTGGCTCAGCGGTTAGAACATTGGCCTATGGTCCAGAGAGACCCGGTTTCGGTTCCCGCTAAGGGCATGTACCTTGGTTGCAGTTTGTCCCCGGCCCTGGTTGGGTTGTGTGGATGGCAGCCACTCGATGAGTCCCTTTCACGTCGATGTTTCTCTCTCTCTCTCTCTCCCTCCCACTCTATCTGAACAACAACAAAAAAAATGTCCTCGGGTGAGGATAAAAAAAAAAAAGAAAGAAAAAAAGCTGTGGTACATGTACACAATAGAATACTATGCAGCTGTAAGGAAGAAAGATCTCTTGTCCTTTGAGACAATATGGAGGGACCTGGAGAGTATTATGCTAAGTGAAACAAGCCAAGCAGAGAAAGACAAATATCACATGATCTCACTGATTTGTGGAATATAATGAACTAAACAAACTGAACAAAATTAACCCAGAGACATAGAGGTGGGGTACAGACTGAAAAGCCTCAGAGGAGGGGAGTTGGAGGAAAGAGAGAAACCACAGAACGTACATGCATGTATGCATGACCAATGGACATAGACAACAAAGCTAGGGATGAGGTGGGGGGGGAGAGGAGGAGGGTGTCAATGGGGGAAAAATGAAAAACATCTGTAACAAAAACAAATTAATAAATAAAAAAGAAAAGAAAAAGAAAATTCTTTAAAAATTAAAAAAAAAAGACATCCATGAAAATCTTTCAAACTCTTTAATGAAGTGAGATAATGGATAAACCTGAAAATGATTTAATGAAAAAGAAAAGCCGTGCCCTGGTCTGTTTTGCTCAGCGGTTGGAGCACTGGCCCACGGACCAGAGAGTGCCGGGTTCGGTTCCCGCTAAGGGCACGTACCTTGGCTGCAGTTTGTCCCCGGCCCCGGTTGGGGTCGTGTGGGTGGCAGCCACTCGATGTCTCTCTCTCTCACATTGATGTTTCTCTCTCTCCCTCCCGCTCTATCTGAAGATAAATGCAAAAATGTCCTCAGGTGAGGATAAAAAAAAAAAATTAAAAAAAGGAAAGAAAGAAAAGCCATTTGCTTCTCATTTGAGACCAATCCTGCCCTGCCCCCACTGCCCCAAATACTGGCAAAGAGTCAAGCAACCCATTTTAAAAAGTAATCCTCCAGGCGAAAGCTGAGTATATGACAACACTCAAGGATGAGTCACTACTGAGAAATCTAGAAATGTAACATTCCATTAACCCTAAGATGCCACTGCTTTTTAAAATTCACCATTACGTGCCCTGGCTGGTTTGGCTCAGGGGTAGAGTGTTGGCCCCAGGACCAAAGGGTCGTGGGTTTGATTCCAGTCAAGGGCATATACCTCAGTTGCAGTTCAGTCCCCACCCCTGGTTGGGGTCGTGCAGGAGGCAACCAGTTGATGTGTCTCTCTTACATCGATGTTTCTCTCTCTCTCTGTCCCTCCCGCCCTCCCACTCTGCCTGGCGATAAATGGCAAAGTATCCTTGGGTGAGGATTTTAAAAAATAAAAAATAAAATTCACCATTACTTTTTTTTTTTTTTATCCTGACCTGAGGACATTTTTCCATTTTTTCGTTCAGATAGAATGGGAGGGAGAGAGAGGAAAAGAGAGAGAGAGAGAGAGAGAGAGAGAGAAACATCGACGTGAAAGGGACACATCGAGTGGCTGCCTCCCGCACAACCCAACCAGGGCCGGGGACAAACTGCAACTGAAGTACGTGCCCTTAGCGGGAACCGAACCCGGGTCTCTCCGGACTGCAGGCCGACGCTCTAACCGCTGAGCAAAACCGGCCAAGGCTCACCATTACTTTTTATTTATTTATTTTTATTTTATTTTATTTTTTTTTTATCCTCACCCGAGGACATTTTTCCATTTTTTGTTCAGGTAGAGTGGGAGGGAGAGAGAGGAACAGAGAGAGAGAGAGAAACATCGATGTGAAAGGAACACATCGAGTGGCTGCCACCCGCACGACCGACCAGGGCCGGGGACAAACTGCAACCGAGGTACATGCCCTTAGCGGGAACCGAACCCGGGTCTCTCGGGACCGCAGGCCGACGCTCTAACCACTGAGCAAAACCGGCCAGGGCTCACCATTACTTTTTAAATGGCCAAAAAAGAAAAAAAAAAATTATCAACTGTAATTATAAGATATCACTGACTCTAAAAAGCACCCTGAAATTCAGAGATATTAAAATATAAAAAAATAATCTTTGGACTACTAAAATATAGTAAATAACCAGTTTAACAAACATAAGGAGCCCTGGCCGGCACGGCTCAGTTGGCTGAGTACTGTCCCATTCACCAGGAGGTGATTCCCAGTAAAGGCACATGCTGGGGTTACAGACTTGATCCCCGATGGGAGGGTGTGCAGGAGGCAGCCAATCAATGTTTCTCTTTCATCGATGTTTCTCTTTCTCCCTCTCCCTTCCTCTGTCTCTAAACAATAAAAAAAATTTCAAAAATATATGTATAGGGGGGAAAAAAATCACACTGACAATCTTTACAGAAGCTAAAATATCTGAATAAATTCAGCACTCATTCTTTATTTTTAAAAATCTTAATAAAATGGGAATGTATTTATTTATTTAAAGAAGAATCCATCTGGGGAAAGCAGGAGGGGGGTGGGAGTGAGGGGGGTTAGTGGGGGAAAAAAGGAGGGAGTGGACATCTGTAATACTTTCAACAATAAAGATGAAAAAAATGAATCCATCAATTAAATTTAAAAGTTATTCCAGATCGCATTACACTTTAAGGAAACACTATTTTCAGAAAGACCATCTTGGGTTGAGATTACCTGCATACTTACATGAAGAAAGCCAGCGTGGAGAACACACCGCACGTGTGAAAGGCGTGGTTCAGCTGCTCGGGCTTGGGGTACACCACCGCTGCGTCGATCATCACCCACCAGCCTGTGAAAAACTTGAGAAGAGCCCCGTGAGTGTCTGCAACCACACGGACACTCCGGCTCCGCCTCACACCTGCTCCTTAACGTTCTTTCTCTACAGACCACACAAATGAAGTACACTCCACCCTGAGTTTTGGATGTTGACGTATAAAAAATAAGAATCCTTGTTTACTTATTCCTTACAGCATATAAGGTGAACCTAACTAGTGACATCTGGTTAAGATTCTGAAGTTCTGCCCTCAAAGCAAGATGAAAAACTTATACTTGGGAATGAATTCCCTGTTCTTTCATCCATCATTACTTGCAACCAAAGCTCTGTTAACCAGCCTCCAACGAGCCAGCGTCCTGGCCGCACGACATGTTTCACACTGTCTGAGAAGCTTCGTGTCAGACATGCCCCGTACCTCTGCTTCCACAAGAGCTGTCAGCTGTCACCGTCCAAAACTACTGAAGCCTAGTTCGGGGTTAATTATGCAATCTGATTAAATACTGTTTAACGAAACAGAAGTTTGTAAAATATAATGTTTCTATGCAGACTAAGCTGGATGGACTTAAATTAGACAAGTTGCTAATGAACTTCATAGACCAATGAACCGCAGGCGAGATGACCCTGACGAGCAGGAAGCTGGTAGAAGCACCTGACAGAATTCCCACGCAGGTTGCTTCTGGCTCCTCAGTTCCTGCCGCACTGTGCTTACTGCTTCTAAGGCCTTCAGGTACGGAACTATACACTGAGAGGAACCTTTTAGCCCGGCCGGTGTGGCCCAGTGGTTGAGCATGGACCCTGCACCAAGAGGTCGCCAGTTCGATTCCTGGTCAGGGCACAGGCCCAGGTTGTGGGCCCGATCCCCATGGGGGTTATGTGGGAGGCAGCAGACCGATGTTCTCTCTCATCGATGTTTCTATCTCTATCTCTCTCTCCCTTCCTCTCTTTCTAAAAATCAATAAAGAAAAAAAAACTTTTTTAATGCAGTTGGGGCAAGGAGTGGTTGATAGGATGCTACAGAAAAGCTGATCGTGATTTTATTTTATTTTATGAAGCTGGATGATAAGTCAACAGAGTGAGAGAGGAGGGGGCTCTTTATTACCCTCTCCCTTTCTGTTGGTACACTTGACATTTTCAATAATAAAAAGTTAAAAAAAAATAGCCCTGGCCGGTTTTGCTCAGCAGTTAGAGCGACATCCTGAGGTCCAGAGAGACCTGGGTTCGGTTCCTGCTAAGGGCATGTACCTCGGTTGCAGTTTATCCCCGGCCCTGGTTGGTCGTGTGAGTGGCAGCCACTCGATGTGTCCCTTTCACGTTGATGTTTCTCTCTCTCTCTTCCTCCCACTCTCTCTGAACAAAAAATGGAAAAATGTCCTCGGGTGAGCATAAAAAAATGCCGGCAGCAAATGCAGCCGCTGTCTGTCTCAGGGCCCCTGCTGTGGCCCCTGCCACACGGAGCCTCGCCCCACGCAGCCTGAGGTCCACGCAGCCTGAGGTCCGTGCTGAATGCCAAGCGCCTCGACGGGGACACTGGGCTGCGCAGCTTCTGGGCCTTAAAGGGCTCACACGTCAACTTGACACCGCGCTGCCTACCACGGTCTTAGCTCTGAAACCGAAGGGACGGCTTGAAGTCCAGCCAATTCACGAGGTCAGGGGAACCCAGGACCTACCGCATCTGTTCAGGACCACCTGGACTGCGATAACTATTTACACAAACAACAGCGAGCTCAACAGTGCTGAAGGGCGTTCACAGCTCAAGGGGTCAGCACTACTTTTCAGGGCTGAGGAAGGCAGAACCGGACCGATCGGGCCCCACTCACCAGGACGCCGGCGGCCACGGAGGCCAGGGCATTCCTCCGCTCGCCCCAGTCCACGCACTCGCAGTCCGGCCAGCGGAAGTGGTCCAGGAAGCCTGCCATCCTCACCCGGCACGTCTCTGCAAAGGAGAGGACAGGAAAGGTATCTTCAAGACGTGAAAGGCCTTACTCCTCCTTTAAAGCTTTAACACAGCCCTGGCCGGTGTGGCTCAGCAGTCAGAGCATCGGCCTGCCGCCCGAAGGGTCTCGGGTTTTATTTCCAGTCAAGGGCACATGGCTGGGTTGCAGGTTCGATTCCCAGCCCCAGCGGGGGTCCTGCAGGCAGTAACCAATCAATGTGTCTCTCTCTCTCTCCCCCTCCCTCCCTTCCTCTGTTCCACTCTATCTAAAAGTCAATGGAAAAATACCCTCAAGTGAGGATTAACAAAATATAAATAAATAAAGCTTGAACACAAATGTACTTTAGGTCTAATTCTACTACAGTGAAGAATAAAAGTTCAATACTTCAAGGAATACCTATGGAAACGTACGCAGGGCTGTGCCCGGACCAACGGGGACTTATCACTTGCTAAATGAGCATGGTGGTTTCACATGTGTGCAAATTCTGACACGTCTCCCATTGAGAGGGGCCCACGTCCTTCTCCTTGAACGTGACCCACAATGAAGACGGCTGAACTACAGAGGGGCAGTGTTGCCCTGTAACTTCTGCACACGACTCTGAGACTCGATCTTCAGCGGCAATTCAGTTGGTAGCCGGTTCTCTGCGACACTAACACTCGAGTCCTGAGTTGCTATGTAAAAACCCAAGGCCACAATGCTGAGGACATGTACGGGGTCCTGGTCCCACTGCAGGTAAGGTACAGCCAACTGCTGGCATCACCTGCCAGATGTGTGAACAGATGCTGCCAGCTGATTCTATTCCAGCCACAGCATGAGGCCCAGATGTATGGGGCAGAGACACGTCACCTGGCTGGGCCCTTACACATTCCGGACCCGAAGAAACCACAAGCATGATATAATGGCGGTTTCAAACGACGGAGTTTTGAAGTTCTCTGTAATGCAGCAATAGAGAACCAGGAGGAAAATCTTGTGCATACAGAACTGTAAGGGTACAGAACGCTGTGGGAATTTTTGAAACAGCGCATCCATTCAGATAAGGTGATTCGGGGACACCTTAAATTTCAGAAAGAAAGAAAAAAACTCCCTGAAAGCACTGAAGAGTGCTGAAAAGCAGGCAGAAACTGGAGTGGTCCGACCGTGAAGGCGAACCCAGTGAGTAAGCTACTCTGTTACGGAGCTTCCCCAGAAACACCCCTTCACCTCCCACCGCAGCCAGGGGGAGCCCCTGTGGTGCAGAAGAGCTAAAACCTGAGCAAAAAGCCGGCGTCTTTGGCGTGCGGTCGCAGAGGGCAGAGTTCAGGATGACCAGAGCCACCAGAAACTGAAGAGGGAGATCTTGGAAAGGGGTGAGGCACAGGAAGGGGCCCCGAACACTCTAACAGTAACTCTCTTTGGAGACCTAAAGGCTAACCTCCCAAGAGCACATGCATGAAGGAGACGCGAAGGACTCAGCAGAAGGAAACACCTGGACGGCCAACAAGTAAGCAGACTTCGCCCACTGCAAGACATTTGAAAGTTTGCATTCCACCAAATCAGAGATTAGTAAAAACACCTTGGAACTTCCAGACATACTCTTTATTTTTTTATCCTCACCCGAGGACATTTTTCCATTTTTTGTTCAGGTAGAGTGGGAGGGAGAGAGAGGAACAGAGAGAGAGAGAGAAACATCGATGTGAAAGGGACACATCGAGTGGCTGCCACCCGCACAACCGACCAGGGCCGGGGACCAACTGCAACCGAGGTACGCGCCCTTAGCGGGAACCGAACCCGGGTCTCTCAGGACCGCAGGCTGACGCTCTAGCCGCTGAGCCAAACCGGCCAGGGCTCCAGACATACTCTTAACAAAATATAAAACCAAGTCTTCACAATTTCATGGTCATCAGTCAGTATTTTAACTGCCTGTTAGAACAAAAAGTAACACTCTTCAGATGAAGACAACTGAATCCAGAATGTCTATAATGCATCACCCACAATATCTAATATATATTTAAAAATTACTAGACATTCTCAGAAGCCAGGGGAAAAAAAGGGAGCTGTATGGGGTAAATATAAATTACTATCTTTTATTTTCTTCTCTTTATTTAAAAGACAACTATTTGCCCTGGCCGTTTGGCTCAGCAGTTTAAGCATCAGCCCGCAGACCAAAGAGTTGAGGGTTCGAGTCCAGTCAAGGGCATGTACCTCAGTTGCAGTTCGGTCCCTGGCCCTAGTTGGGGTCATGCAGGAGGCAATCAATCGATGTCTCTCTCTCTCTCTCCCTCCCTCGGTCCCTCCCACTCTATCTGAAGATAAATGGAAAAATATCCTCAGTTGAGGATTAAAAACATTAATAAATAAAATACCAAAAGATTATTTAAAATAAATAAATAAAAGACAACTATTTAAAGCAAAAAGTATAACATTGCAAAGGATGTTTATCCACAGAGATAACCTTATTTCTAAATAGTACATTGGCTACATCTTCTTTTTTTTTTAATTCTCACATGAGGAAATTTTTGCATTTATCTTCAGACAGAGCAGGAGGGAGAGAGGGAAGAGGAGAGAGCGAGAAACATGGACGAGAAACATGGACGTGAGAGAGACACATCGAGTGGTTGCCACCCACACCACCCCAACCGGGGTCGGGGACAAACCACAGCCGATGTACGTGCCCTTAGCAGGAACCGAACCCGGGTCTCTCTGGTACATTGACTACATTTTCAAACAATATGCTTAAATATGAATTCATGCAAAATGCCTTTAAATTTAAATTAATGGATCCAATTGTTAATCTAAAAATAAATAAATATTTTACAGACGGTCCAAACACTGGAAACATAGACTGGGAGATTATATTTACAAAACAAATATCTGACAAAGGACTTGTGTCCACAATATAGAAAGAAATTCTAAACATTAATAAAAAGATGAACAAAACACAAGCAATGTAAAGTTTGCAAAAAACTTTTTAAAAAGACTTGAAATGGGTAGGTAAACATGATACTCGCCTCCCACAACCACATTAAAATTACAACTAAAAAATCAATAAAAACATTTTTTTAAAAATTACAAGTAAACTACAGAACCACCATCATTCAGAACTGCCTGACATCTGGCTGAATGGAAGTCCTACAACTACGGAGTCAAAGAGCCGCATGGAGACCGGTAGGAGGGGTGGAGATGCAGAACGGGCTGAGCCCACACCCATGTGTGGAGGATAAAAATCGGAAGGGATATCTCGGCTATATAGGATCGAGGGGTCCCGGCCCCACACTGGGTGCCCCAGCCCAGGGTCACAGGGCCAGGAAGAGAAGTCCCCAAACTTCTGGCTGTGAAAACCAGTAGAGAACTCTATGCTCTAAGCAGGGGTCAGTAAGCTTCCTGTGAAGAGCCACACAGTAGCCCTGCCTGGTGAGGCTCAGTTGGCTGGAGTGTAGTCCTGCCACAGGTTCGATCCCCGGTCAGGGCACATAACCTAGGTTGCGGGTTCGATCCCCGGTCGGGGCACATAACCTAGGTTGCGGGTTCAATCCCCAGTCAGGGCACATAACCTAGGTGGCGTGTTCGATCTCCGGTCAGGGCACATAACCTAGGTTGCGGGTTCGATCCCCGGTCAGGGCACATAACCTAGGTTGCGTGTTCGATCTCCGGTCAGGGCACATAACCTAGGTTGCGTGTTCGATCCCCGGTCAGGGCACATAACCTAGGTTGCGGGTTCGATCCCCGGTCAGGGCACATAATCTAGGTTGCGGGTTCGATCCCCAGTCGGGGCATGTACAGGAGGCAACTGATTGATGTGCCTGCCTCACATCGATATTTCTCTCTTTCTCCCTTCCTCCTCTCTAAACAAATAAAACGGAAATATAACCACGTAGTGTACATTTTTGGTTTTGCAGACCAATGGCCCTGTCACAACCACTCAACTCTGGCCGTAGCATAAAAGCACCCACGGCAGTACGGGCGCGCTCGAGCACGCTGTGCTCCGTGGAGCAGACGTGACTTACAGAAGCGGCAGAGGTGCTCGGGGCACGTCTGAGTCCCTGCTCTCAGCCGGGGGGGAAGGACAGACCCGCAGAGGGCGAGGGATGTTCCGGACAGGAAGAGAGCAGCGGTGTGAGCTGGGACATACTGGCACAAGCTAAAGAAAAACTTGTATTTAAGAAATATTTAAGCAGTATTCAAGAGGCAGGGAGGAGCTAAGCATGGCTACTGGGGCGCCCAGTGGCCGGTGAGACACCAGGGACCAACACAGAAACGGGAGAACAGGAGAGTGTCAGCGTGACATCTGATATGACCGAAGGACGTCAGGCGGAGGTGTGCACAGGACAGATGGACAGAAACTGGAAGAGCAGTTTAAGAAAGACATACAGATGAGAGGTTCGCAGTACTACGTGGTAACTGGATCGTGGGGCAGCTACCATATCACAGGGAGAAGGTGTGGAAGATGACCGAAGACTGACTCAGGGTTCGTCTCTGACTCGCCTCCTTTCTTCCTTGAGTCAACTGCGCCAGGCACTAGACAGACCTACACGCAGAATAATCAGCACACAACTACCTTTCAGAGCAGGTACTGGATATGCACAGATCATCTCCTATGAGCAAGGCACTGTGGGGAAAGTAACATGGATCAAACTCAGCCTCGTCATCAGGGGGTTAACGAACCAGCAGAGAAATCAGTTACCACTACTTAAAATTAAATTATAATTTTTATCATTAGAAAAACCTGTTACAAAGATCTGGAGACTAACAAAATATAATTATCATTCCAGATACTAGCTCTACAGAGCCAGAGCAAAAGAAGTTACCTCCAATGACACAGGAATAAAACCTACACCCTCCGCACCATTGCTGCTATTACCAGCTACGGGTGCTTCTAGATCACAGACCACTCCGTCCCACCCTGGACACCTCCTTCCATGGAGGCAGCCTCCATGGACTCTCCCACTGAACCCTCTCGAACACTGCGAGCAGTTACTGCGATCATCTCAGAGTACTGAAGAGGTTTAGAGAACAGTTAACT